CACCCTCTGGCTGTGGGAAGCCATTCCCCCTTGTCCTGTCACTCCACACCCCTGTCCCAAGTCCCTCTCTAGCTCTCCTGGAGCCCCTTCAGGCCCTGGAAGGGGCTGTGAGCTCTGAGCTCTCCCTGGAGCCTTTTCCTCTCCAGGTGAACACCCCCAGCTCTCCCAGCCTGGCTCCAGAGCAGAGATGCTCCAGCTCTGGAGCAGCTCTGGGGCCTTCTTCAGGGCTGGAAGCAGCTCTGCAGGTGGGGTCTCACCTGAGCAGGGCAGAGGGGCAGAATTCCCCACTCCCCTTCTGCCCACAGTGGGCCATCAGCCCAGGGCTGGGTACTTCCATGGCAGGGGTTTGGAGCCAGATGACCTTAATGTCCCTCCCAGGCCTGGGCATTCTATGATTTTGTGTTGAGCTTCTCATCCATCAGCACCTCCAAGTCCTCCTCAAGGCAGTTTTCCATCCATCCATCCATCCATCCATCCATCCATCCATCCATCCATCCATCCATCCATCCATCCATCCATTCATCCTCTTCCCAGCCTGTACTTGAGCTTGGGATTGTCCCAATTCCATGTAGGACCTTTTACTAGGCCTTAAGTGTCATGAGTTAAGTGTCATGAGTTTTGCACAGCTCCACTTCCCCAGCCTTTCATGGATGCCTCATGTCTTCCCTCCAGTGTGTGACCCCAACACACAACTTGGTGTCATCAGGGTGTCCATGATCCCCTTTATCACTGGAAAAGATGTTAAACACACCAACTCCTAAGAAACACCACACCAAACTGCTCTCAAAAAGAAATTGTTCTCTGCTCCAGAAACCATGGAAGTGGAGGGTTGTGAGATGCTTTGTCCCTTGAATGTTTACTTTCCCTGGAGGCTGTGACCCTGCTCCCAGATCAGGGTGAATGGGAAAGGCCACAGGTCTGGCTGAGCCTTCTTGCCACCAAACGCTTGCACTCAGAGATCACATGCTGCTTATCTGGAGAATTGAAACAGGAATATATGCCACCAGTGACTCCCCCAAGCAAAGAGGTGCCATCCACACCTGGGCTGTGGCAGTGTTTAGAAGCAGAGGATGCAAAGCAGAACATCTGGATTATATCTTTATTTTACTCCTTTTTTTTTGTTTATTGTAGCCTTTCAAGTTTAGCTATAACAGCTTGAAGCTGTTAACATTAAATATTTCTCAAGGAGACTTCTCTGATCTTTGCTGTACAGCCTGTCTGGTGTTGGGGAACCAGCTGAACTAGGGAGACTTTACTGAATGATGGGTCTGAGTCTATTAGAGCAAAATTTACAGGACATAAAGACACAACACACACCTTGTGGTCCCAGGGGCTCAGCTGGGCAGGGAGGATGGAAGCACCAGGAGCAAGGGAGCCAGGCAGGCACTGGCTTCACAGGACCTCTGGCTCTGGGCATACCCCAGAATGTTCCAGCAACTGCTTTTCTTCCTAAAGGTTTTGTTCTTCACTTCATCCCCTGAGGAACTGATAAAAGCAATGACAGTTTCTTTCAAAAGACCTTTTAAGAAACTCCAGTTGGCAAATTCAGTTAGAACAGCAACAACTTCCTCCATGGGAGGACAGGCTGAAGATAAAGCTCTGGGTTGCTGATGAGTTTCACCACTGAGGCTACTCCAGAAGCCACAGAAACTGCAGCAGAGCTGCAGCACTTGATCCTTTCAAAGCCTTTGGTCTGTCCTTGCCCTGACTCCCATCCACCACAGGACAAGATGCCTTACTGCAGCATCAACATCCTCATGGAATATTTCTCTCTAGGGAGCAGCAGCTTCCCAAACAAGTCCTTCCTGTCAGGGGAATCCTGCAAGAATCCCCTCAAAATCCCAGAGTGACTTTGGACACCTTGGCTGGATTCCCAGAGGCTCCAGGTGCAGGAACCACACCCCTGACCCAACACTCGCACACCAGAGGTGCTGGGAGCACAGGGGTCCAGCCCAGGCACTCTGGGCAGCCTCATGCCCACAGTCCTCCCTCATGTCCTGCATGCCCAGGGCTGCCACCTCAGCCCCTGCCCAAACCTGGCACCCAGGGCATCCACAGCCAAGTGTGTCCCTCTGAGAAGGGGACACAGAAAGTGCAGAACATCCTCAAGGTGCAGGTGGTTGGTATAATTTCCCCACCCCTCCCCCCAGAAGAAGCATAACTGAATCTTTGGCTTTTTTAAGGAAAATGTATTTTTGTGAAAATAGATTTTATTATAATAAAATTTGATATTAAATAAAAACATACCATACCACCACTACTTGTGGCCGCTGTGCTGGCACCACTCACGGAGCTCATGGAACTGCCCTGCTCAGATCAAGGACCCACTGGAACATGCAGAGAAAGAAACGGGGAGGGACAGAAACCATGGCATACAAAACCCTCAGTGCTTGGACAGGGCTGTGTCTCAACTGCAAAAACACTTTATCTCTTACAAAAACAGTGCAAGCTGCCCAGCCCCAGCCCTGCTCTCAAACATGCTCTGGCATGGGAGCAGCTCACAGACACAGCTGAACAGAACCGTGGAGAGAGGCAGACGGACAAATAAATAAATAAATAAATAGGTAGATAAATAAATCAATCGATAAATAAATCGTTAAATAAATAATAAGGCGGAGTCCCCAGCCAGTGCGTGGTCAAGGTGAACCAGGCAAGAGCAGCTGACAGCAGCCCACCCCCACGCTGAAGAACCGAGCCCTGCTCGGGCACCGCTCCCTCCTCGCCGGGAATCCTCGTGCTGGAAGCTGACTGAGGCAGTGTGGGACGCTCCAGGCACAGCTGCACATATTTACAGGGTTACAGTACATGTAAGAACTCACTCATCAGCCCAGAGACAGCGAAGGGGAGTCACGGGAACAGAAAAGTGCAAATTTTCTTTGCAGGAAGTGAAGGAGTTGACATGACCTCCTTTGGAGCAGAGAAATACCAGGGTGTGGAGTACAAGGGATCTCTCCTAAGGGGCCAGGGCTTTGCTGGGAAAAGCCAGTTAGCTAACTTACAGCCAGAATATAATCCTTAAATTAAAATATTTACAGGGAACTGATGCACTGAGGGCTGCATGGAGCACGACATGCTGGATCCCAGAGCTGAGCCCTCACACCCCAGAGCCACTTTTTCCCCAAGGGCTCTCAGCTCCCACACTCTCCAGAGTTTTTCTCTATTCAACACATACTTCTCTATGAAAATAATCTGCTTATTGCAGAGGGCTTCTCAGTCTCTGGGGCTGTGTGGCAGCCTGGATGGAATACCCCTTGTTAATTTTTCTTGTTGGACCCAAGTTTTTTGAAGAGGTTTTTCCCTTTGAAAAAGAAGCCTCTCTTCTTTTTACTCTGCCCAGGTGCATCACTGCAGGGGAGGAGGGCCAGTGATGCCTGCTCTGGACACTGCTCTCCTGGGACAAGGCAGGAAAGTGCTGGCAGAGGAGGAGATGGAGAGGAGTCGCTCTGATCATCTGGATTTAGCTGGGTGGGAAAGAGAGAAAACAAAAGACAAAAGCACAAGTTAGAGCTGCTGAAGGAGATGACACCAATATAAACCTCAACCAGAGAACCTGGCCTTCTCCCCTCCATGCAGGCGCAGTTCCACTTAGAAAGTTTCCAATGGATTTAAATTTTGTACTTAAACCCAGACCCCTCCTTAGCTAAGAATTCCTGAAACTCCTGAACTTTGAGCTAAGTACTGGACAGCACAAAAGACCCACTAAGGACATGGTGAAAGATGATGCTCCACAGCTAAATAAGTGAAGTAGACCCTGAGAACATGGATGGAGACAGGTACTGATGAATCCATGGATGCCTCAGCCATGGAACTTGTTGGGATCCCAGCATGCTCTGGGACAGAAGGCAGGACATTAACAAAACCAAATTTTTTAAGAACAAGTGCTCTGCAAGACATCCAGAAGATCAAGGAGAATGCTAAGCCCTGAGGCTTCTCAACAGTGGCCTATTGGTAGGAAAGGAACTGGGGGTCCTGCAAGGCTGCTCAGCATGCAGCAGATCCAGAGGCAGGAGGGGCAAAAAGCCAAGCCTGGTGCTCTGCAGTGGCACTAGTGGAGCAGGATATAGAGAAATTTTGGATCAAGTGGCACACAGGAATGTTCCTGATCCCCTGAGTGTTTGAGACAGTTAAAATTGGGACCCAGCACTCTCAAATAGTGCTGCTCCCTTTGGAAATGGCTTTTAGAAATCAGAATGTGCCCTAGTCCTGGGCTCAGTTTCCCCTTCAAAGGGCTGAGAGGTCAGTTCCTAGCAGCAGCCTTCCTTCCACAATCTCCTCTCACTAGGCTTAGGTGTCCAGCCAGTGAAAATTACCAACCTGGCAGTGAAAATTACCAAGACATCCCAACAGGCTGTGAAGTTCGTCAGGGAAGAGGCTCTGGGTTTCTGAGGCGTCAGAGAGCCTTAGTCTCACTGCCTTCTCTTCCACACAGCTTTTACAAACCAGCAGCTTCCAAGCTCCAGCTGTACATCCTGTCTTGGCATTACTCAAAACACAAGGTGACAGTGGCTGGAGCTGTGCCAGGAAAGTCCTCTGGACACTGGAACATCACACCCTCAGCATCCCTGGGCTGAGGTCCCACCGAGTCCCTCATGGCTCTGCAGCAGCCACAGCCCCCAGAGAGAATGTGAGATGGTGACAGTGGCAGCAGGACCCTCTGCCTGAGGTGGAAGCACTCCTGAAGATCAGACTCCAGGCAGGAAGTGTGTGAGGATCCCAGCTACCCCTGGGCAGGACTGGATGTGCCTGGTCCTGGTCTCATTCTGTGTCCAGGGCAAGCAGCTGAATAAGGCAGAGCCGAGAGCATTGCTTCCCTCACTCTAGCACAGCGATGCTCCTGCCCTGTGGGGACTTTATTTAGAGTATCCTGGGTTCTAAAGACAGCTCTGCTCTGTCACCCTACTGCTGCTCCCACCTCCTTTGGGATGAGGAGCACCCAGTGGCTATGACCTCTCCTCCCCTCACGGCTGGAAGCTGTGCTGGTCTGGGCTGCTGCAGGCCCAGGATGAGCACAAATCTCTGCTCTGAGCCAGAGTCAGCACCTACAGTACTCATAGAGCCAGTTCTGAGTGGGCAGGAGCACAGGGAGCTCCAGCTTGACGTGGATTTGTGACTCCTCCCAACTCCACAAAGCTGAGAGTCAACTTCTGCCTCACAGCAATCACTGGGGTGTGCCAGAGCCATCGGACTCTCCCTTACCTGAACTACAGGACAGAGCTGGAGCTCCTCTCTGTCTCTCTATGACAGTAACCAATCCCACCACTGACTTCTCCTCAGCTCACACTCTCTGCTCACCTGAAAATGTTGCTTTCCAAGGCACTCCTGTAACACTCCAGGTGTGCAGCACTGTGCCCTAAGGCCAGCTGCTGCCCAGGACATGCTGCAGGATGTCACACGTGCTGATGGATGGCCCAGGCTGGCCCTTGGGAAAGCTGCACTCTGCCTGCAAGGTCCGCTCCAACCGATGCTGCAGCAGCAGCTGCAACCTCTGTCTATCCTGGCAGCTCCCTTGGGCAAAGAACAGCTCTTGGTGCTGATAAGCCCAGTGTTAGTCAGGTCTAAGAAGTCTGGGAGTAAATCCAAATAAACTCAGATAAACCATTTGCAGCCAGAAATACAAGATTCATGGAGGCAAAGATAAAAAGAAAGCCAGACCAGGGCTAACTTAGAGCCCACTCTCTTAGCTGGGAGCAAAATAAAGAATCCCCAAGTTCTGCTCCAGAAACTATTTATGATTTCTGCAACAAGGAATCCTTGGATAAAATGCCCAAAAGCACTGGGCTAGCACCAGAAGCTGGGGCTCACCAACACTCAGGGAGTGATGTGGGAGGGATGTAAAGGCCCCTATGCAGCCAGAGCAGTGGAGGCTCTGTCCATGCACCATTGAAAAACACTTTTTGGGTAAAGGTGGAACAGTTTCAGGACATACCTGAAGTTGCCCCACAAACAATTCCTCCTCAGAGGTCTCTATATGGCAGGTAAGCAACAGAATCAGCTCACAGATTCATGTGGTAAGAGAAAAATCATAGCAAAGTTGGGGGTTCTTCTCTAAGGAAAACAGAAGAAAAACTGCTCTGCCAAAATCTTCATACAAGTTATTAGAGTGATAAACACAAGAGTGATGTCAGTTTTCAGGGGTGGTCTCAGAGCTCTCTCAGGTGTTACTGATTAACATAATTTCTAGAAAACAAACAATTGAAACTAAGGAAAACAAAGACTGCTCCCGTTGACCCCCAAAACCAGGGGTCTCACCCACCCAGACCCAGAACAATTATCCACACAAGGTTGGTTTTAGGGACTAAATGTTACTACTTTCTTAAATGGTTGGTGGGCAGAGGTTTTTCAGGATTATTCTCAGGAAGGAGTAAAATCCAGAAGGAAAAATCCCAGGCTGAACAAGACGTGTGCTCAGACTGAGGAGGATCTTGCAAAGGCCAAACGATGCTTTGGCTGTTGATGTGAACAGAAGGGCCAAGCTGAATTACAAAGCAGGTCCTTCCCAAACCTGAATATCCAGCGCAGTCCCATCCTGGTCCCCAAAATCACCAGATAATTGTTCCAACCAACTGCACTTCACGTGCCAAATGGTTTGCCTTTGCCACAGAACCCAGGTGGCAGTGAAAGGTCTGACATCAGACCTGAAGGTGGATTTGCCACCACAGCCTCAAAACAGCCTGTCAAACTACAAGCAAGAAAAGGAGTCAACTCCAGGTGCAGGAGCCTTTGAGGTGTGGGGCTGGGTGGGAGGTTGAAGGTCTCACACACTTACATGGTTGCTCTATGTATCATTCATATCTATCACTGCACTCTTCTCTTCCTCATTCTCTGAAGAAAAGAACCGTCCCGGGTGCATAACACAGGCAGAAATAAATACATGAAATCAATTAGAATCAAACACTTTCTGAAGGTGCTTTATAACCAGTCTTTGACAGAAACTGCATGTTACCGATAGAAAAATATTCCATCAACAGGAACAGCATTAATGCAGCTGCCCTGAGCTGGTAAGCATGAGCGTTTTGGGCCCTGGCTGTGACCAGAACTTCTTGGATCCTTCTCTTTGTGCTGTTTTTGTTTATTCTAATCCCCAAATGTTGTCAGTTTGTAAGTTCAACTGCTTCACCTATTCCGTTGCCAGCATTTTAAGATTTACTCAGAAATAATTATAAATTATCCACCTTCCCCAGTTCAATTTGGAAATAAATTGTCCTTATTTTCAGGCCTTTGGGAGGACAGCAGGAAGAAGGGAAGTGTGAAGAACAGGTACGATAAGAACATCACATCCAAGAAGTTACAAGTGATTTAAAAATTACTCATGGAGAAGCTTCTATTGCAACTGGAACAAGCTGTAACAAGAGTCCAAAGCTCTGCCATGGTGCACACACATCCCCCCCTGGAGGTGCAGGGTTCAAGCTGGGACTGGGAATGTGCAGGGAGACTGCTCTGCTAACAGCAAATTGAACAAGCAAGCTTTCCTTAACTCTGTGGGGTGAAAGTGCTACAGGAATTTGGAAAGCCTCAGGCACGGCTGTATCACTGGGAGAGTTCATTCCAGCTCAGGGATGGATATGGAACATGTCTGTTTTACAGGAGGTAATTCTTCTGCCTTCCCCATGAGGTTTTCTGCCCACAGGCTGGGATGCTGTGATTGCTGTGACAGCCAAAACCACCATGGGGTCAGGTTCTGTCTCCTCAGGAATCACAAAACACACTTAAATGCAGTTAATTAATACCAGTTTGGATCTGAGTAGGGTAAATATACCACTTTTAACAGGGGGGAAACATGCCCTTCCTGTTTGGAAGATGTTTAGACAGGTCTGGATTGCAAAGCACAAGTGGGAGGAGTGCTGGGGGTGCTGAGCCAGAATCCCCTGGAACAGGTGTCCAGGAGAAGCAGGGAGGCAGCAGGATAGGAGCCAGGCTGGCACAATGCAGATGCAGCCAAAGCAGAGTCATGCCTAGGGTGTTCAAGCTGATTCCCACTGAAATAAAATTGGTTTAATCATCATTATCTGAATTTTCCAGTCTCCCAATTACAGACAGAGAGCAGCAGAAATCCTCTCCAGGATCAGGAGAGTACCAAAAGTACCAAACCAAACAGGTTTTTGCTCTGTGCACCCAGAAGTCAGAGCCAGTGTAAGGGGAGGCTCCCTTGGATCTCAGGCACAGAGGACTAGAGACAAATGGAAAGGTTTGAAGGGCAGGCAAGCCTGAAACATGTCTATCTTATATGGGTTGTTTTTAACACTCCTAAACGGCGCTTCTGTTTAAAAAAATGTCATGAAACAGAGGAAGAGAGCTTCCAACCTTCAGCATGCAGGGGTATGTGGGCCAAAGTGCTGTCCAGGGAATCAGTCACACACTGAACTCAGCAGCAGAGAGGAAAGTGGGTTTGGTTTTGCAAACCCTTCACACCTGCAAGTGACAGACAAGGTTACCTGAACTCCCTCTGGTCGCTGGGAGGATCCGGGCTGGGGCTGGAATAACCCCTGGAATCTGAAACAGGCCCTGTGGCTGCTGGTTGATGCCAGAGGGAAGATCTGCCATAAATTACACTTAGAATTCCACCTTTATTTTACTGGTTGCAGTCTCCTTTGGCACCCTCTGTTTCAACAGATGAATAATTTGCTAAGAGTAAATAATTTTGAGAGGGAAATTGAAGAACCCCACTCTGCACCCTTGTTAATTCCCAGGGAGGTTAGACTTGAGTGACTCCAGGGCTCTTAAACCCTGGCAGTAACAGCTGATCAACCTGGGATTCCCCAGCAAGGACCAGCATCCTCAACAGGGAAGTACAAGGGCCCCAGAGAGCTGCTGAGGTCAGCAGATGATCCAACAAACTGCCCATTATCTGAGCCAGGCTGCTCTGCCCAAGAAGGCATCAAGGCTTGAGTGCAAATACTGTACCCACAAAGCCTGGAATGCCTGGAAGCAAGGGATGGGGCTGAGGTGAAGGTAGACCAGGCAGCAGCTGAAGATAAGATGGATACAGAGAACAGGAAGAGCTGAGCGTGAAAAAAGGCCAAGAAATGCTGCAGAGAACAGGAAAGCTGGGATGGTACCAGCGAGGAGTTCAACAGAGCAGGATTCAGGGATTCAGGGCAACCTACTTCCTAAAGGATGGCTCAAAGCCAACCTGCGGTGACTCCTGTGAGTCTGGCACCACATGGCAGTGCCAACAACCTCCCGAGAAGGACTGAAAGTTGAGCCCATGTGAGCTGGGACCAAGCTGGGCCCCTCCTGCCTCCCACTCCACAGTGAGGCAGCACAGGAGGTGCAGGAATGATAAAGGAGCTGCTACACTTTCAGCCTCAGCCTCTGACATGATCCCAATCTCCCACTTAAGCCTTTATTCCAAGAGTCTCAGCAACACAATGCAAAGGGTTAATTGAACCTTTGCATCCCTTGACCCTGGGGGATGCTTTTGAAACCGTAGGATCCATTCCCCAGATCAGTTTGGTAAACTCCTCAGTGTGTTTTGAATTTATCCAGAAGCACCTCAGCCTGGATGAAGATATATCCAACTTGGGGTGGATGGAAGAACATTGGTGTCTGGGCGTTGCTAATTCCAGAACTCTTTGGCATGGATATAATCATATTTAAGGGATTTCATGTGCCTGGGGAGCTGGTTCCAGTACGATTTTCCCACTGACCTTTCAGTGGATCTGAACAATTTGCTGGTGGGATTTGAATGCTCCTTGCCCACCTGACCACACTGAAGCCCCAGCATGTGTTGTTTTGTGCCACTTTCTGCACTACAAGTAAGTCTTTGGGAAGTGCTCCCAGCACTCCCTTGGGATGAATGGGCTGCATGCAGTAAGTTCAGTGATCCCATGGGTGCTGCATGCCATGCAATACCCAGGCTCCAGACACATCCCAGCCTGGATGGCAGTGCCATGCAGTGACACATCTCACCTGGCTCTCAGCACTCAGCAGAGGAGCTTCTTTATCTTTTGAGTGGAATTCCTCAGCCATGTCTCCATCCAAAGGGACAGCTTCCAGGAAGTTGGAAGGGACAAGCCCTCTCTGTTGGTTCAGCTCTCCCTGCAAGATCAACATTCAATTGTCACATCAGCTTTCCTGGAGAAATAAATAACAACTCGAGGTGCAGCGCCTTGCAGAGAAGGCTGGGCTGCGGGCTGAGACAGTCCAGAACACACCCACATAGGGAAGATCCTAAGAAAATTCCTAACTCATATTATTCTTGCTTAATTGTGGAACAATTCAGAGCACAGAAACACAGAAGAGAGTAAAGGAAGAAGAGATGACAGCAAGTTGTGACAAAGGTGATTCCTACAAACTCAAAATCTCCACTACCATACTGGAATATGACTGTGCCACAGGTGCCCTAGAGGCTTTTGATTTGCCCTGGTATTTACTGATGTCTTTAAAGAATGAGGCAGTACAATGTCCTGTAGGCATTGCATCCATGATCACAGTGGCTCAGAGCTTCAGTATTCTATTCCTAAAAATATGTATCCAATTCAACAGAAGGTGACTGGGTGAGACAAAACCCACCCCAGCAAGGATGTTTGTCCAATATAAAAGGATCAAACAAAACATTCCCAGTGATGCACTCAGACTTAACCTGGAGCTCAACCTCAAGTCTTATGTGTGAAGGCACACTGTTTCCCATGCAGGAAGACGTGGATGGTCCAAGGGCCAAAGCTCAAGTCTAGCACACAGCTGGAGGGCAGGCACAGCCCCAGGAATGTGTCTGCTTACTTGGATCACCATTCCAGCCTCTGGTGAAATGTTAGCTCACAGCAGGTGCTGGTTCAGCTGCTGTGTGCATGGAAAAATTCCAGCAAGGCTTTGGGAAACCTGCAGGCAACTGATGCCAAAAAATAAACTCAGAACCATTGAGACATTTAAAGGCCACAAAGATGCTTCCAGGGCGGGAGCCCCTCTGCTCTGGAGCCAGGCTGGGATACCTCGGGGTGTTTACCTGGAAGACAAAAAGGTCCAAGGGAGACCTCAGAGCCCCTTCCAGTGCCTAAAGGAGCTTCAGGAAAGCTGGAGAGGGACTTTGCACAAGGAACAGAGAGACAGGACAAGGGACAGTGGTCCTTCCCACTGCCAGAGGGCTGGGCTAGGTGGGATATTGGGAAGGAATTGTTCCTGTGAGGGTGGGCAGGCCCTGGCACAGGGTGCCCAGAGCAGCTGTGGCTGCCCCAGATCCCTGGAGTTGTCCAAGGCCAGGCTGGATAGGGTTTGGAGCACCCTGGGATGGTGTCTCTACCCATGGGAAGGGGTGGAACAGGATGAGCTTTAAGGTCCCTTCCCCAAACCATTCCAAGATTCTGTAATATTGCATTTACAGCAGAAGGAATGAGCATCAGAAACAGGCTGCCCTGCATTAAGTAAGAGGGGTCTATTTTTTTTCCAAAAGCAGGATATTTTGATCCCTGATTTCTGCTTCCCTGCCATTCCATGATCTCCAACAATTTCCAGTGTAATCACAGGACCTTCCCAAGCCCTGCACTTACATAGTAGAATCCATCATCATCCATGGACCCAAAGACAGTGATAACATCCCCAGCACTGAAGGTCAGTTCAGCCTGCAAAGAGCCAGAGAACAGAGGTCACAGGAGAAGCACTGCCTGGAATTTCTCAGCAGGAACACAGGCTCCCCTTGGCTTCTTGCCCAGTCTCACTCCAAGGGAGGGAGCCCACTGTGTTTAGTCTTGCAGGACTAAGATGCAGGAGGGAAACTGAAGTGGGTAACCCTGAAATTCACTGCTAGGGAAGCATTACATAAATTAAGAAAAGAGCAAAGCCCATTTTTAAACTAATTTTAGTAAGGTTTCAAAATAGTATCTACCACCTGCTCTGGAAAGGTGCACTGAGGACAAGCTCAGCAAGCACCAGAAATTCTTCTTCAATTTCTTGAAACATGATTACAAATCCTGCTCCCTTGGATGAGCCTGTTCTGTATGCAGCACTCAGGGATTAGTCACTAGCAAGAATGCATACAAACAGGGAAGTTTTACCTGGACACAGAACAGGAGCAGAGCACACAGTGACCCTTCACTGTCACACCCTCTGTCCTGTCAGACACCCCAGCACATGCTCCATGGGGCACAAGGGTACAGAGAAAGGTGTCACCAGTCTCTTCTAATGGAAAAAGCTGCCCAGTAGAAGCTCCTAACAAGTTGAGTCCCACTCAAGACACTCTGGCACTTCACAGATGTCAGCTGGAAGGGAGCTACTTTCAATATATTTACCATATTACACACCTAGTCCTCAGTTTAATCTCTTGAGGCTGCAGGTCACTCCTGTGGGGCATCTCTCACAGAACTCCACCAGCTTGTTTCTGTAATTTGAGCCCTTGTCCAAAAAAGTTCTACAAGAGCAAATCACTGCAAAAAGTACAGTCATCTCCTCAGTGACAAAGGTTCAGAAGTGTCAAGTGGCTGGATACATGCTTACATTGTGTCTCTCCCAAGATATTCCATCATCCCTAAAACACTCTATCCTCAGCTGCACCTCTCTGGGCAGGAGAGACAGTTTGGGAGGCAAGAATTCCCTGAACTGTGCCCTCTGTTGGTCAGACACCCTTGTGGATAACAGCTAACACAGCTTGGAGGAACAGAGAACAGAGAATGTGCTCATCTCTTTTTGCAGAAAGGATTCTGCATTGCTACCTTTCTACCTGGAACAGACTTATCCACAAAATTACTGTTTGGATTGTATCCTTCCTGTTTAGATTATATCCCTTCCTATTCCCAGAAGTGTTCAAGGCCAGGCTGGAAGGGGCTTGGAGCAATCTGGTCTAGTGGAAGGTGTCCCTGCTCATGGCAGGGGGTGGGATGAGATGGGCTTTAAGATCTCTTCCAACCCAACCCAACCCATTCCATGATCCTGTATATAGGAATTGCTTGAAAACAAGAACTTTGCAAACTAGTCCATTAAACTGGAGCTAAATCTTTTTGCTTGAACAAAGACCTACACAGATACTTAACACAAAAGTCATGCTCAAATTGTCAGAAGTGCTTTAAACCCTTAATCAGGTTTTTCCTTTTCCCAGGTTTTTCCTGGATCAGTTGCTACCAGTAGGAGCTGCTTCCTCCCACCCCAGATCTGCTCAGTCCTGTCTGATTGCTAAAGGATGCAATGAATACTCAGAGTTTCACTGAGACTCTGGTTGGACCAAACTGTTGAGTGCCTTGGGAGAGAAGGAGAAAAGAGACAGGGAGAAGAAACCTCTGGAAAGGGGGGAGCAGCTGGTAGTTACCTCCACATCTGTGTTTGGAGAGCTCTCCTTAGGGTTGTAGTCAAAGGCAGCCACCATCCTGCGAGGAACCAGCAGCTCTGCTTCAATGTCTTTATGTTTCTGCCCTGCAGGAGAAAAATAAAATATTCTTAGATGGTAACACTAGGACAAAAGCCCAAATCACAGCAACTCCTTCACCATTTTTGTAGTGGTCTGAGCAAAGAGAATACTAAGGGATACTGAGCTGAGAGAGACCTTAGAGGCATTTGGTAAAGCAGTTTTCTGATGTTCATTGCCTCCTAAGCACTAAAGTGGGGACATCCTCCCATCCCCTCATCCCAGTACTCTGTCTATAGTACAGGAATGTTTTATTTTACGTTTCCTATTTACACATATATATATGTATATATACATACACACACAGAGGATAGCTGTCTCTTTACAGTGTCTTGAAAGACATTTCTCCTCCCACTACACAGTGTTCTGCTATTAAGCTATAGAATTTATCCTCCAAGGGCCAGGGACCACATACAGGGAAGTGCAGGCCCTGCCTTCCACAATCTCCTGCCTGCTCAGACCCATTACCTACGGACCTACCCTAAGCCTACAAAAGCCAAGTCTGGTGCTAGAGAAAATACACATTAATGGATTTAAACTCTGCTTTGGGTCAGCACAGATGGGCTGGCAAAGAGTTTTCAGACTTGGCCTCTCTGGATACCAACAGAAGATGCTCCTCAGCAGAGGGAGCACTCTCTCTGTGTCCCTCGGATTGTAGGGACTATAGTGTGTGATGAGTGGGAGATTGCCCTGCTCCTCCCACAGCACAACAACAGGTGTGTTCCCCCTGCAAGCACTCCCTCCTCAACCAAAGTATTCTGCACCCACCACTAAACAAAAAGAACTAAAACCTTTTGTTACAGTGCTCTGAAGCAGCACCACAGGGTGTCACACTGGCCACAAAACACATCTGTAATCCGATCATGCATTACCTACTCCCCAGTAAAAGCACTTCTCACCTGCCTGAGACTTGTACTCCTGTTTGTCCAGCCCTGCTGGGAGAAGAAAATGCCTCACCAGTAAGAGCTCATCTCCAACAGTGACCACACAACACAACTGACAAACAGTAAAAAGAACGCCAAGACAGCAAACAACAGAAGCAAACTGTTCATGCAACTTAAAGTCTACACCAGTAACCAGGACTCAGGAACATAACAAGAAGCAGAGGTCAAGCTCCAAACTAGAAAAGGCATCACTGTTGTTAAAAACTTAACACCAGCACAGGGATGGGCTCTTTCCACTTCCTAGCAGTTGTACAAACATCTGAAGGTCCTGAAAACAAGTAGTAAAAATTCAATGCAGTCTGTAATCCTATAACAAAAACCAAAGAGGAAGCAGTGGCTGACACAGACCTTTTTTGGAGCGTCTAGGTTTTGGAGGAGGGACAGTTTGGCGGCGTGGAGGTGGAGAAAATGTGCCATTTCCTTAATAAAAACACCAAAAAAGCAAATAAATAGACAAGCGAAACAGACAGTGAATGGAAAGCAAGAAACATCTTGAATAGTGAACAGGGGACAGAGGAGATGACATGCCTCCCCTGGGAGGCTGACAACTGGATTTCTGTGGGCAAAGCCCTCTGGGCCTCATATGTGTATGTATACCAAATACACAGAGAAATCCACTGTACTTATGCATTTTAGCTACTCCACAGCTCACAGCAGACAGACCTTGCTGCTCCTTAGCTTTCAGAAGCAGCACCATAAGGACAAAATAAAACCTTGTACAATTAACACCTAAAAAATCCCAGGTCTCTAGCTAAAGCTTCTGCAGTGAGCAGGGTCGGGACTTGATGAAATCCCAAATGAACCTGCAGAGTGCCCAGACCAACCCCTCCAAGGCATTTTCTTAGTTAGAAGGCTGTGATAGGGGTTTATGGCAGCAGGAAAACAGCAGAGGTACAGCCAGCCCAACTGCAAAGGAATCAGAAAAGCACCACAGTTGGAAAAAGACCTTTAAGACCATATGGTCCAACTTGCACCCAGATGCCCTGTCCTGTCAGGGAGTTGTGCAGAGCCAGAAGATTCCCCCGAGCCTCTTTTTCTCCAGGCTGAGCCCCTTTCCAGCTCCCTCAGCCGCTCCTGGGGCTCCAGACCCTTCCCAGCTCTGTTCCCTTCCCTGGACACGTTCCAGCCCCTCAGTGTCCTTGCCAAGAGGGGCCCAGAACTGCCCCAAGGATTTGAGGTATGTCCCCATCAGTGCCAAACCTACAGCCCCTCCCTGCACACACAGCTTATTGACTATCACCACCTTCCTCAAAACTTTCAAACCCATCATGTTTAATGGAATTTCAGAGCTATTAAAATCCTTTACTCTTCCAAGACTATGCAGTGGGGCAGGGCAGAGAGAGCCTTGTGCATCCACCAAGGGACACAGGCCACCACAGGCATCCAGCCTTCTCTGGCAAACAGACAGGAGAAAGAGCATGTATGTGAAGAACATCTTACTCAAATCTCCTCTCTTCAGACATGGGAGAGGCCAAAGGGCAAACATATTCAAGAAATCACACAGTGAAAGCATCAAGCTCCTTCAATCCCTGTGCTCCTCAGGATCACCACTTTCCAGGGACCAAAATTTAGGAGCTGGGCACTGTCAGCCCCTCAGAATCATAGAATGGTTTGGGTGGGAAGGGACCTTAAGGGTCTGTTAGAGCTGGATACTGGGTCTCCCTCCATGGAAACAGGAACAAAGCTTTTCCTTGAGTTTTCTTATTTTTAGGTTGATTTGGGCTTTTTTTCCCAGCTCAGGCAATGTCAGGGCTTACCTTTGCCATTACCAACACATGTGCTGTATTTCAGTGCTGAACTGGCAGGGAAAAAGGGACCAGTCAAACCAGGAATATCCTGGTGTTTTAACAAGTAAAGCAGATCCAGCAATTGGCACTGGCAGTAGAGGGTGCACAGAGGAGTGCAGGATGAGAAGTGGGAGGCATGAGGGACAGGCACTGGGACAGCAGTATTCACAGCAGGGGCAGCTCACAGCCACTGAGCCTGACTCAGCCTGAGCTGCAGTGGCTGCACATTCCAGGGCTGCTCCCTCTCCTCTCTGAGTACATGAGTGGGAAGGAACAGGAAAGCCTCTGCAGCACACAAAGCACTGACCACATACTTCAGGGAATAAGGAAGGAGGAACCCAAACCCCAGGTCTCCTTGTACACTCCTGTCTGCCTCACACCTTTCCTGCCCCTTCCCCATCTCCATTCCCAAGTCACAAAATTCTCTCACCCAAGAGCAGGGTCATCCCAAGAGTTCAGTCAGAGGCTTTCAAAACAAAGGAGAAACAGATTGAAAGCTCTTGTTTGTATACTTCAGTTGCTCTTCTGTTTCCCTGTCCCTAGCGAGGCTCAGCCTCACTTTGTGCTGAATTCACACACTACAAGGCAAGGAGCAGCTGCAAATGTTGCAGTGGAGTGAGGATAACTGAGAGCTTGGAATCCCCACATCCAGCCAGTTCCCCCTGCTGTGGAGCAGCCACTAAACCAGGCTGCAGATCCAGGGACACTCCTCCAGATGGGTTTGGTGGCTGTACTGGCCACATAAGACAGCAGGACTGAGCTTCCAACATTCCAGCAAAGAACTGAAGAAGCAGGGCACACACATGCATGCACACACACACACACAGAGTACCTGGGCTCTCTGTGTCTGCAGGCAGGAACCCCTGCTTTAGGAGCTGCTGCTTGAGCTCACTGCTCTCCACAGGGACTTCTGACACCATGTTGCATGGAATGTATCCCTCCCTTCCAGCACATTCCCCCCTGTAAAAACCATCAGCATCCTTGTCTCCACAAACCTGCAAAGGGAAATAGACTGTTTATGCTGCAGGGACTGAGCTACACAGAGAAAGAATAATGGAATATCTTGAACTGGAGAACACCCACAGGGATCATCCAGTCCAGCCCCTGGCCCTGCACAGACACCCCAACAACCCCTCCCTGTGCATCCCTGGCAGCTCCTGGAGCTCTGGCAGCCTCGGGGCTGTGCCCATTCCCTGGAGAGTCTGGGCAGTGCCCAGCACCCTCTGGGAGAAGAACCTTTCCCTGATCTCCAGCCATTCCATAAGGTCACCAGAGAGAAGATACAGCATCTGCCCCTCTAATTCTCTCATGAGGAAGCTGCAGACCTCCCAAGGTTTATGCTGCCCCTGGAACACCAGGCAGATCCATAGAGTAGATGTTCACTAAGTTCTTACTTTCAGGATCTGTCCCTCCTTAAATGGGAGCTCCTCTTCCGCTGCATCAGGGTTAGGGGACATGGAGACAGGATCGTAGTCAAAGAGAGCCACAAAAATCCGAATGTCATCATCTTTGCCAGAGCTCTCGGGAGCACTGTTCCTTGGAGGGCCTGTGCACAGAGGGAACATAGCAGAGACAACGTCAGCCCTGCCCTGGTACTGCCTGCAAGCCTCTCCCCACTTATTTCCAGGAACTTCCATCTCTCCTGCTGCCCACCTCTCTCCCTGTTCCTGCTCACCTGGACTAGAGAGCAAAGGTTTCTGCATTTGGCTTCTTATGCTCTTGCTCCGCCTCCTGCTAGGAGCCTGCCAGGCGGTTGTGCCAGGTGGCTCCGAGCCCCTGGAATCTTTATGACTCGATGCCTGCAATTGGAACCACCAGAGAATTAGTAGCAGCCTCTGCCTTCCAACTCCCTGAACAGCGCTCAGCCCAAACGCACTCCACAAAGAGCAGTGCATCCAAATGCAACATTCCTCTTCAGGGACACTCTAGAGCTGGAAAGACCAAGGGAGTTGGAAAACAAAACTGAGGACAGGCAGGCACCCTGCCAGGCACCCGTGATGATCCCCTTGATGAGGGTGAAGATGCAGGAAAGCGCATTTCGAGGGGAGGCAATGACATTAGAGTCAGCATTTACACAAAGCTTTCAACAATCAGCTTATTGCACCAGGGATTTTCATTTGGGTCCCACAGCCTCCTGCCGTGGGGAGGAAGACCCAGTGTGAAAAGGAATACTGCATCGGTGACACTTGGTCAGGGAGCAGGAAAAGCAGAAGCAGCTACTACAAGAAAAGCCATGGAGCAGCACAGAACTACAGAATCTCTTAGATATTCTTCCAGACAATCCTAGAGGAGGGTCCTTTCTCTGGACAACACTGAACAAAGCAAGATACAGGCAGGCCAGGGAAGCAGAGGGAAGCCAGCACCACTGCAAGTTGCTTCAAAGCCAGAATAGGAAAAGTCACCCAACCCTTTTGTGCAAGGAGGTGCTACGTATCCCCTTCGAAGAATGTTCGAACCTCCTTCTCCAGCCAGGTGACTTACAGTCCAGCTCCCAGCCCTGCTCCTCAGAACTGCTCTCACACCTCGGGGCTTCCTTCTCCCGGCAGAAAAATCGTAGGTGCCGGCTTGGAGACCCAGCCCACTCCATACCCTGCTCTTCCATCATCTCCAGCCTGGTCAGGTGCCTTCTGCCACCCGGGTGGGCAGCCTCACATTGACTGGAGCAGTCACTCCAGTCGCCCTGGCAGCTCTGGAACCTCTCTGGCCACAGTTTGCTCTCTGGAGAGGATGCACAGGTTGAATCCTGATCATCTTCAGAGTCATATTCGATGTCTATTTCCAGGCTCCTGGGGCAGTGCATTGCCATCACAGCAGGTTCTGCCCCCCCTGTTCCCACTGCTCTTGGGGCTTTTTTCCTTAAGGTGCCTTGTCTGGCCCGGCTGTACAAATCCAACCCCTCCTTCCCACCGGCACTGCTGACAACATTCAGCTCCTCCCTGAGACTGGGAGCTCTGTATAACCCACTCCCCATCTGGCTGCAGTTGCTCAGCAGACGACTGCAGTGCTCTGTTAGATCACTCTGTCTCTTCCTACTTGACTCAGGCCGACTCCGGATCTTCTCTTGATAATTATTTCCCTTCTTCTTGCTCCAAGAGGGACTTGTCCCACTCCCAGACTTTGGATCATTCTCCTGATAGCACCAGTTCCAGTGCACCTTCTTTTGACTGCAAGCCAGCTGGTCAAAGGCAGGATCTGCATGGTCAGCATCGACTCTGCTCTCCTTAGCACCAGGCTCCCCCTGTGGAGTCTGAGCAGACACATCCATGGAGGTGTTATTCCCATCTTCCTTTAGAAATGGCTCCTTGCTGTTGGGTGGTTTCTCTGTTCTTCCTGAATTATAGGTTTGTGTTTCCAAGGAGTCTTGCGGGTCTATCTTTTCTTCTAGAACACCCTTCTCATCCTCATCTTCATCCTCATCCTCGGTCACTTCAGGGATGCTGAACAACTTCTTGCTGTGGTTCTTCTGAAGTGGGAGTTCCAGGATCCTCTCCAGAATCTCCTCATCGCTGTCAGTATCACAAAGATCCATCTGTACCCAGACCCCGAGAAAAGCCACAGCCAGGACAAGCAAAGGAAAAAAGAGAGGAAATAAACATTAAAACAAAAGGCAAAGTGACCCTGATTCCCTCCCAGCAGAGCAGGATGGAGCTGTGGCTGCAGCAAAGCAAGGGAAGGGGGCAGAGGGAGCGATGGATCTTCTGGCAAAAGCAATCACATGAACCAGCAATGTGGTGGGAAGCAAGGAAGGCAAATGCATGGAAGAGCTCCCTCCCAGCCTCTCCTGTGCACACACAGCTACCTGCAGCACCTTTCATCCTGCCACAGGAATGATTCCTCATGGCTTGGCACCCTCGGGGTGGGATGGGGGCAGGAGAGGCACTGTCCCTCCACAGCAGAGCTGAGTGGGCTCTTCTGTCCACAGGGCTGAGCCTCAGCCTGTGCTCCCCCATGGAGTCACGGGTCCCCCTTAGCCCTGTCCTCTCCCTGGAGCACAGGGAATGGCCCTTGGAGATGTTGCTGCCTCGGCCCTTCCTATCTTCTAGCAAAGTATAGCCCGACTGCAGGCTTCTGCCTGCAAATCCAGGGAACGAGTTCCCACAAAAACAAAGGAAAACCCTTCACCTCTAAGGGCCACACAAACATGAGCTTCACTTGCAGATGGGTGAGAGCCTACCAGGTTAGAGAAAGTTTTGGGGACAACACTGCTGAATTTTAAGATTTGTTGTGGACAGCTGTAGAATTTATAGGTTTATTTCTTATTACATTAGCACTAACATAAAAGGCAAAATCCCAGGTGCATAGTGTCATTTTGGTAGGAAGATAGCTTTGGTGGTCACTTGTTCAACTTCCCTCACAAGTTATATCATTATGTGTTATAAAAGCACTTACAAATAGCTTACAAAGCATGTGTAGCTATTCATGTTTCAAACTACAGCCATGAGCAAGTCTGTTCAGATATAATTAAAAACTGAACCACTGTGGGGGGATAAACAAAGGCAGTTGCAAGCTATCTACTAATAGTTCCAACCTCTCTAGCTTTTTCCAAGCAAAAGTTAGTCTTGAATTATACTTAGAACTGGTTGAAGAGACCTCCAAGAGGTCTCCAGTTCAGTCTCCTAATTGCAGCAGGACTGTTGCCAACAATAAATCCATGTCTTTCCTTAGATGCGGTTTGAGGACACCAAAGAATGGAGATCCAGAACCCTCTGGGAACCAATCCCAAGGCTGCACTGTCCTCCTGGGAACGAGGTTTGAACTCAGCTCCAACATGAACATCGCAAACAGCAGCTCATTATTTCTGCCTCTTTTAATGTATCATCTCCCAGAAACAAGAAGACTTTGGCTCTCATCCTTTTAAACATCACACAAATAGTTATAGGCAGTTACAAAATCTCCCATTCAACTCCTCTAGACCAAAAACCTCTCAATTTTCTTGAACTCTCCTTACAGAACACATATTCAAGGCTCCTGTCTTGTTAGCACCAATTAGGAATATAGAGAATTCATAAATACAACCAAAAATTAAGTTCAGTAAGACTTTATTTAGCTGTTTGCAAAGTTGTGGCTTCTGCTTTTGAATTTTAATGTAATAAATATTTTCAGCAATTAAACAACTTATTTGAGGATAAACATTTTAAAAGCAGCATCCTTCCATGTTTTCATCCTCTGGATCCTGAAAGAATTAATTGAGCAGTCTTGAGGTAACAGAAAATTTAGTTAAATATGCAGAATCCTAGAAAACAGCCTTTCCCAGTCATATCCCCTTCAATCCACAAGGTAGTAATGGGAGCTCTGTGCCCTAAAGCTTCCTGCCCCTCATGTCCTCTCCCGATTCAGCATCTTGTCACCCTCACTCTATCACTGCCAGCATAGAAAACAATCACTTTATCTAGGCAAGAAGCACCAGTTTGCTCAGCTCAAAAGGACATGAGCAGGGTTTTGGTTTTTCTTTTCAGAAAAAAACCCAACCAAATAAAAACATTAAGGCAAATAAAACACCCAGAAAAAAACAAACCAAAAAAACCCCAAGAAAGAATAGTGTTCTTGATTGCTCTTATTTCCTTCCTTCTCTTTCCAGGAAACTTATTTTTCTTCCATTTTCCCAGTCCAATCCCAACAACTGGAAGCCCTTCCAAAACCTCCAGAGGCAGCCCCAGCTTCTCCTGCCGCCAGGCTTCTCCTGGGGCCCCTGATGTGCTGTGCTGCAGGTCCAATTCCTCTCCTGGGAAGCAGAAGACCCTTCAGGAGAAGAGGAAATTTACTCCAGAGTCACTACATTGTCTGCTACCATTTAGCGCTCACCAGCCCCATCCCTGCAGATCAGCAGCCACAGAACACCATCAACAACAGATGTTCCTAGGCCACATGAGAAATTCAAGAGAGGGTGCTTTCTTGCCATCCAGACATATCAGATTTCCTGCAAAGCTTTTTATTTCTCCAGTCTCTCACCCTCAGTGCTTTCCCTCACAAACATTCATCCTAACTGCTGTAATCTGTATGGTTACACACCCAGTTCCAGGTCATGCAGTTGGAATCACATTCCCATGGTTGCATTCAGACCAGGTTTAACTCTTTGAGCACAAATTAAGCTCGTCACTTTCAGCTCAGCTCAGGCAGGATTTCATCCCTTGCAGCATTTGAACAGAAAAGCCATAACTCTGCTCCGACATGCCATCCATGGCTAGAGAAAGTATCAAGGTCTAAGCCAAATAATCACAGAATCAGGGAATATCCTGACCTAGAAGGGACCCAAAGGGATTGAAGCCAACACCTGGCCCTGCACAGGACACCCCAACAATCCCACCCTGTGCCTGAGAGCATTGACTGCTCCCTGTTTACTATCTGTTTTAAGAACTCAATCAATTTGATCATTGATTTTAACCCTGGATTTTAAACATCACATCACACTGTGTGTTTTGCCAACTAATTAAATCCTGGCTCCATTCATTTAAACAAACACCCTTCCCTCTCCTAAAGAACTTGTGTTTTTACTACCTTGAGTAAAGACTGGGAGGAAAAGCAGAGCAGCAGGACCTCGGGAAAAGCTCAGCCCAGCCCCTCCTCCTGTGAGTTGATGGCATGGGATGGCTGCACCAGCGCTCCCCGCAAGCAGCACTCAGCACAAGTTACCTTTTCCCCATTGTCCTGGGAACACGGCTCTCTCTGCTCCCATTTTTTCTCTTCCAGAGCTTCTGAATACAGCTCATCTTCTTCCTCCTCTTCCAAAATATCTGAAAGGTCAGAACTCCGGTTGTGCTCAGCGAAAAGGGTCAACTGTCGGCGGCCCATTTCCGACAGTTTTTCGTCCTGCTGTTGAAAAGCAAAACACATTTTCTCAGTTCTCCCAGACTATTTCAGCAACAAAGGAGCATTTTCCCTTTCTCTGAGCACATACACAGCTCAGGTGTGGTAGGCAAGGAAGTGGGCAGCACCTGAGGGAGTGACAAGCACGTGTGGACACACACAACCATCAGCCTCACTTCACAGCCTGCAGAACAGCACTGCCTAAGGCTGGAAAACTCAGAAGATCAGGTATAGGTCACATCCCTCCATGGGCACACACACTCAAGCAAGGTTAAACAAACCTCTTTTTTCACTCTGGACATTTCTTTCATCACCTCCTTGCCAGAAGACAACCTCAGGAAGTCCTGGCAGCTGCTCCCGCTTGTGTTTCCATCTGGGAAGGTGTCCTGTGTGCCCCCAGCCTGCCTGGGGGAGGACAGAGGCTCTGGGCTCAGGTGCTTCTCTGCCTCTCTCTGTGTGTCAGCACTGGGTGCCTCCTCCACAGAGGTTTCTGTTTGGAGCTTCACCCTGCTGTCATTCGGGCTTCCCAGCTCCAGTGCTTTGGTTCTTGGTTGCTCCATCTGGGAAACAAACCAACAGTGAAATCAAGGGGAAGCTTCTCAGACTACTTATGCATCAAAATGGAGTCCTACCACCCCAAACTCTGACCCTCTGATGTGTTCTGGGCTGTAGGCATATCAATATTTTGGCAGGCAACTTGCAGCTGGGAATGTTGGCCAGCCCTGGAACAAACCCCTCCCTGTCCTCAGCTCCCAGGAGACACAGTGTCTGTAGCTGAGCAAAGGCCCACAAAGGTACTGACAGTAACAAGTCTCAGAGCAGCAAGAAGAGCCAAGCTATACAGCACAATCATTTCCCACTGTCATCTGAGGATCAGAGGAATGGCCTAGACACCAACTGGCATGTTGGGCTGAGCTGGAAATGACGACCCTACTTCAGGACTTCCTGGGTTGTGAAGAAAAGGGGAAGAATATGGATGAAAAATAATACACACAGAGAGTATACAACAAGCTCCTGATTAGTTCACCTAGTGAGAATTAAAGAAAGTCTTCATGTGTTTTCCAATCAGTCCAAGAAAACCTCTGGGAGATGAAGGAATGGAGCTCCAGAAAAAAGAAGGGTAAGGCAGGTGAGACTTCATCAACCACCCCTTTCTCTTACTCTAACCAAGGGAGCCTCCCTGCATTTTGCAATGGAGCACAACCTTGTCCTTATGTACCAGGTACACTTTGAACACACTGAAGGATCAGACCCCGAGACACTGAGACATTGCAGTGTCAAGCTTCTCAATGTCCCCTGGGCTCAGACAAAAGCCAGCCAAGTACTGATCTCATATCTAATCTCACAGCTCAGATTTCCTGCCCTATTTCCCTTTGCTGACAGCCAAGTGAAGAGACACCTCAAGTGAGAAGGATGATAGGATGATCTGCATCCTGGGAGCACCCATTTCACTCTTCTCCACAAAGGAGGCAAAGCAACCACCACAAGCGTAGCCATCTACACCAGACATCTGAATGTATGGAGACAACAATGCTGGAAACAGCTGAAGTGCAGTAAGAGACTCACAGAAAAACAAGGAAATCTGGGCTGGAACTGAATCCACCAGCTGAGACATCATTCTCACAGAAGCCTCCTGGCACACCACCAACATCTGAAGCTGGAAGCATTCAAGGCCAGGTTGGATGGGGCTTGGAGCAGCCTGGCCTAATGGAAGGTGTCCCTGTCATGCACCAGATGATTTTTATTGTGCCTTCAAACCCCAACCATTCCATGATTCTACGAAATGTGGGTAAATGAATCCAGCAGTTGACTCAAGGTACTGTGAGCTGCAAATGACCAGGAGCTGATCACTGAAGTTCTGGACTCAACATTTCAGTTCTTCTGGGTATTGAGCTGGCTCTTGGGCTTGAGCCCACCATGCTGCTGTTGCTTCAGCAATTCTCAGAAGTCTCAGCCTAACTCTGAGCCTTCACAGGGTCACACTGCCATGATTAATAAAGTTGTGCTGAATTTAACAGTTTGAAGCACTCCCATGAGTTCCCATGATGTCAAAAAGTCAGAATGGGAAATAGATCCTTTTCCCCGATTAAATACATCCCACACCAGGAGGGCCCACTTCCCCATGGTCACAGAGCAATCATTCACGATCATTATATGGCTCTCAGACATCCTCACCTCTGTCCTAAAAGAACTCTGAAAGCACTCACCCACCCTACTGGGAATTCCACTCACCCACTGGGAACTCCAAATAGCCAGTGTCAGAATAGTTTGCCAGTTCTGCAGCCATGGCTGCCCCACTCTGCCATCCACTAATGTGCTCTACCACTGTCTTGTAAAAACCCACCAGGTCCCTTCAAGACAAAGAGCACAGCAATGCCAAATTAACACAAAAACATCCTTTTAATCTTTTAACTCTGCAAGTTCTTCCTTTCCTCACTCTATTCCTGATCTGCCAGCAAACAGAATCAAGAGGTGAGCTGCATCTTCCAAATATACAACGGCAGCCAAACCCTCTGACAGTTTGCCACCGCTTGACCCAAAGACAATACTGTGTCACAGAAAGGTGCTCAGAGGCATCTTATCCCACACCCCAAAAACCATCCATTGCCCTTCCCTGCACAGCTGGCACTGGGCAGAAGATGTAAGCACTTACCTGCACCTCTGTCCCTTCACCTGGCTGTTGCAATCCCAGTTCCTGGGAAGGGCCAGGCTCTGTGCCCTGCCCTAGGAGCACTGTGCCAGCCTGCTGGGGAGGCACACTCAGGTATTTCTTGTCTCCCACAGTGTCCAAGCCCTGTGGGGAAGTGGCTGGAGCCAAGGAAGCACTAGGGGAGGGGAGGTGCAGCGGGGAAGAGGCTTCCTCTGTCAGGGGCCGTGCTGAGCTGACAGGGCTGAAGGAGGGATCAGCCAATTTGGCATCTGAGCTCTCAGCAGGAGTTTTCTGTCGGAGCAGGAGTGCAGGCGTGTGCTGTGGGCTGCGAGCAGGCAGCGAGGCCCTGGGGCCCCCCCGGGGCAGTCCGAAGGGGACAGTGGTGCACACAGGGGAAGTGTAGTGCGAGGATCGCAGCAGCAGTGAGGAAATCTGGGCTGGAACTGAATCCACAGACTCCCCGTACTGAGACATCGTCCTCACAGAAACCTCATGGCACACCTGGAACATCTGAAGCTGGGACAAGTCCACCAGGACACTCCCAGCTGTTGGAGAAGTAACTTCTATCACCTGTAAGCAAAAGAACAGGAAATAATTATTTGCTGTGCACAGCTCAGCCCTTCTGAGTAGAACAATTCCCAACCAAAAGTTAAGACAGAACTCAAAGCTCTGGAGAGCAGTGGTGAAGAATTCCCACCCTTCTGCATAGTATCTCTGAAGAACGAATAGTTAAAAAGAAATTTGAGAAACTGAATAGTCTACAAAATATGAATATATTCACTCTCACTCCAGATTTTAACCCTCCTTGTTTTATAAGCTTCAAAAAGTTTCTCCCTTTTTTAGGCTATTCTTCTGACTACCTTCCCAGACTCCACCTTTTTTCACCTGTGAAGAGGAAAAAGCATTTCTATGACAAAAGAGCAACTGTGCTATTTCAAACAACATCATGTTTGCACAAGACCATAGGACATTTTTAGTACAGAATGACCTTGGATGTTCTATATCAGTAACAATACTGAACCCTGAGGTGTTTGTATGTTAAAACCATGGAATGGCTTGGATTGGAAGGGACCTTAAAAACCATCTCATTCCAGCCCTATCACGGGCAGGGACACCTTCGACTTGGACCATCCCTGGTTGCTTCAAGCCCTGTCCAACCTGGCCTTGGACACTTTCAGGGTTGGGGCAGCAACAGCTTCTCTGAACAATCTGTGCCACAGCCTCCCCACCCTCACAGGGAACAATTTCTTGCCAATATCCCATCTAACCCTGCCCTCCAGCAGTGGGAATCCATTCCCTGTGTCCTGTCCCTCCATCCCTTGTCCCCAGTCCCTCTCCAGCTCTCCTGAAGCCCCTTTAGGCACTGTCAGGGGCTCTGAGCTCTCCCTGGAGCCTTCTCTTCTCCAGGTGAACACCCCCAGCTCTGCCAGCCTGGCTCCAGAGTAGAGGGGCTCCAGCCCTTGAAGCATCTCCATGGCCTCCTCTGGACTCACTCCAGCAGCTCCACATCCTTCTGATGTTGGGGGACCCAGAGCTGGAGGCAGCTCTGCAGGTGAGGTCTCACCTACGCATGGCAGAGGGGCAGATTCCCCCCCTAACCTTCTGCCCATGCTGTGGGGATGCCAAGCTCATGCTGGATCCCTACCCCTCATTCCTCACACTGAGAGAAAGCCCCAGGTGGTGGCTCTGTACTTATCCTTGTGCTCTGTCCATACCTTAGGGACTGTTTGCCAAAGGATCAGGCCAGTGCCTGGCCTGAGCAGAGGAGGCTGTTTTGCTGCTGGAGGGTCGGGTTCCAGGAGCACCTCCAAAGCCTCAACAGATGTCTTTTGTGGTGTGCATCACACAGCCCAAGCAATGTCCCTTCTCTGATGTTACTCCTTTCCAGGCCAAGGACTGTCACTGCCTCCTCAGGACACCTTCCTGGATCCAGCTTTCCATGTCTTAAGGTCTGACACTTCATGCTACCCCTGCAGCATCCCCAGCCCCCTGCACAGCCAGTACCTTCTGTCCATCCGCATACACGGCATATCCAGTGACCCGGACCCCGTTGGAAGATCCTTCAGCATCAATGGTAACAGGCAACCAGCTGATAACCAGGATACCTGGAGAGGGACCAGCTTCCACCTGGACATCCAAAGGAGCATCAGGTGTGCCTGGGAGAGACCAAAAACAATTTCCTCTTGCTTATCTGGCTACAGCATAAAGCTCAATCCTGGTTAGAATCAAAGAGCAAACTCCCAACCAGACTTGTCCCTGCAGAACTGAACTACAACAGCCAGGCCAGTTCCGGGAAATGACAGACAGAACCAGAGAAAATAAGATGCTCTTGTTCTGCGAAAGCTTTAATGCACAGAAAACAGAACTTTGCAAAAGTAGCTGAGGCCAAGACGCAGCAACCCTTGAAGCAAAGTCATGGCCAACCATCTCCTCCCTGCCCAACCAGCTGCTCCAACCAGCACAGAGGACGTCTTCCCAAAGCAAATGAAAGGAAAAGGGATAATCAAATTTTAAAATAAAGGAAGAAAAACATAAAGACAAAAGAGTGCAGCACCTCAGGCTTTGGGGACCTAATCAACCTCGCTTCCCTTTACCCCACGGCTTCCCAGCAAAAGGCCAGCTGAGCACAGCCTGTCCATGTGCAGAGGCCTGTGGTACCTGCTACAGGGGTAGTGAAGTGTATCACGGCTGAGTCCTGCTCCTGCCCCTCGGGCACCTCTTCCCAAGGAGTTTTCATGGGCCGGGCCTCCAGCTTGGCCACATACTGGGTGCTGGGCTGCAGGTTGTGGAAGGTGTACCAGTACACGCCTGGCTTTGTCACATCACACTCCTGCCCGTTGAGATATACCCCATGGCTATAGTTGCTGTTGCAGGGAAGCCATGTGACCTCTGCTGATGTGGCCGTGACGCTTCTGACTTTCAGCATCGTGGGTGCCATGCCAAAATCCTGCCCCACGAAGAAAGTGCAGCGCAGTTTATCAGAGCTGCCGTGCTCTGTCACCGTCTGCACGGACACACGGTAAGCCCTGCTGTGTAAATCCAGCTTTTCTATCACTGCTTTGGTCTGAAGGCCACTTTTCACGTTCTGACGTAGCTCTTCATCCACATAGATGTTGTAGCTCTGTATGTCTGGGCAGCCAGCTGGCAAAAGAGGTGGTTCCCAGCCTACAACTATGCTTCTGGCAAGCTGCTTGATAAGAGTCAGTCTTCTTGGGTAAGGCACTGCTGTGTGACTAACGGGTTCCTCCTGATCTCCTTCTGCTCTGCTGGCAAGCGGACTGATGCTACCCTCTTCAATGGAGAGCTCACTCTTATCTCCATTGCTGGTGCTTGCACTGACCAAACTTTTCTCCTGGTATGAGCTATGGGTGAGATCATTCAGCTCCGGAGGCAGAAACGTCATGAGGTCATCATCTGAAACTCGCTCAACAAAATTGGAGGGGACCAGCCCTCGCCGGCCATCCATCAGCTCCCCTAAACAAAAAACAGGACACCTGTTACCACTGCTCCTGCTATTGAGCCTTCCAGCTCAGCTGTGAGGACTATGGGACAACATCTATGCCAGGGTACAACTGCTCTGCAGTCAGGAGTGGAAAAAACCTCAGGAAGGTTATTCCTGGCAATGTTTCCTGATTTCCTAGGGCTTCCCTTGTTAGGTTCCAATGGACACAGTGAGGAACCTCGCTGCTCCACACATTTTAGAACCAGCTAAGTAAAAAGTTGCGTTGTGTACTTAGCTAAAGGCTTTCTCCTTCTTCATTATCCCATTCTTCCTCATCACAGCTCTTTCACTAACTTCTTTAGCCTTCCTGAACTATGCAGATGGATGATTTTACATCTTCTCCCAGCCATACAGATTTGGGGTTTGCAGTACTTCCTCAAGAAAGTCCATCTTTCCAGCTCTGTATTTAGCTCTGGCCTTCCTTTTTGCTCCCTCCTTTCTTAAGTTAACTCCTGTACTAAAGGTGCCCCAAAAAGTCTTGTGGGGCCACAAAAGATACACAGCAATTGTGCAGACCCATCAAACCAAGGATGAGCATCACATATGGACTGCACTGCCTTCCCCCTTCCAAACTCTACCTACAACAAATCAACTGAAAGCAGGGAAAGCAGAAAAGGTTAGTAAAGAATAACTTTTTTAAACAATAAACAAACAAATAAATGGTAAGCTTGGGAATAGAAAGAAAGAAAAATGAGGCAGAGCAGTCACAGAGCAAGCAGTGCAACACACATGCATTTGTCTCAGCTCTTGCAAAGCACCTCAGGAAATCAGGAACCATTACCCCTTAAGCAAGCGGCTCCACAAAGAAACCTCAGCACAAATTTACAGCCCACGAATCTTGGTTTCAATTCCATCCACCTCTTAGTCAACCAGGATCATGTTTGCAAAGGGGTCAAAACAGAAACACTGTGTGACATCAGCAACTGTAGTCTGGGTTGATCACTGTATCCCTCCTCTGCCAAGAGAGCACGAGGCAATGGAGCCCATCACCTGCTGCAGTTCCTGGTTCACTTTTTTCCATTGGAAAGAGGGAAACACCCCATCTGCAGAAGGGGCTGAACATGTTCCTCTCCATGGTGAGGGAGGAACCATGTGGGAGTTGAAACCATCGGGGATGAAACCTGGAACTTGCTGAACGTAGCGGCAAAATTTCCTCTGAGATCACTAGATAAGGATTTCATAGCTTACACTTAGTTTATTCATAACATAAATAAAGCTGGTTCCAACAGGATCCGCTTGTTCTTCTAACAAACTAACTTTGGGCAGAAACCCTTTACCTTGAGGTTCCAAGATTCACTAAATTTCTCTCTCATTTTCTGGGGAGAGAACAACTCTCCACAGCAGTTCAATCCCATTTCATTTGACTAAAACACACCTTCAAAGAAGCCATCTTCATCCATGTCTCCATAGATGTAAATATATTCTCCAGCAGTCAGTGGAAGCTCTGCCTCTGGATTTTCATTAGGTCCATCAAAAGGATTGTAGCTGAAATATTTACAATTGGAAGATTTAATTTGCATAGGAACCTTCCCAGCAACACACTACAGCTGTGATGCTGATAAGCTTTTAATTCACTGGGAATGAGTCCACTTTGGCAAGCAGCAAATTCCACAGACAAAAGTCAAGACTGTAGTTTACATATGAAAATATTTAATAACAGATAATTTCTGAAGAGCAAAACAGATGTCTTGTGACATCCAAAGGAACAGAGATATGAGGATGCTGAAGGGACCGGAGCATCTGTTGGGGGTTGAATTGTTCCCTTTTCTTTCTGTGGAATTTTCTCCCATTGTTATGCTAAGTAATTGTGGCTACACCTTAGAACGACAGATAATGTTCTCTCGTAGGGGGGTGGGTGGAGGGGGAGGAGGAAACCGGAAAAGAAAAGGTGGGATGGGGGTCTGGAGCGGGGGACTCTCTCTCGCTTGGCTCGTGGAGTGGGAGGACGGCCCGGGCTCCGGTCTGGCATCTCCCCCTGCCATCCCAGCACTGAGATCCACGCTCCCTGCCTTTGGACATCGCTCTGCTGCTCTCCCACCTCACCCTGCTATCTCCGGACACTCTGCTGAGCACCACGACCGACACCGTGAGGGGGAGTCACTTCCCCATCCCTCTCACCCCTGGGCCGCGGCCGCCATCACCCAGCCCTCTTCAACTGCGCGGGACCTGCCCTGCCCCCAGCACCGGTAACTGAGCGCAGGGAGACGACCTGCGGCCAAAAGGGACTGGAGCGGAGCTAGACTGTTCTGTTCTGTTGTCAATTTTTATAGCTGTTGTTGTTTTTTTCTCCTTGTTGGATATCAGTAAAGAACTGTTACCCTTATCCCCACACCTCCTGCCTGAAGGCTTCTGATTTGGACCTAAAATAATTAACAGGGAGGGGGTTGCATTCCGCATCTCAGGAAAGGGGCTCTTGCCTTTCCTTAGCAGATACCTGTCTTTCAAACCAAGACAGCATCTCTCTGAGGACAGGCTGAGGGAGCTGGGCATATTCAGCCTGGAGAGAAGGCAACAGAATAGGGAGTTTTATCAATGCACAGGTATATTTAGGGTGGGTGTCAAGAGAAGGGAGCCAGATGCTTTCCACCGGTGCCAGCAACAGAACAAGGGGTGGTGAGCACAAACAAACAGGAAATTACACCTGAACCTGAGGCAAAACTTCTTTGAGGTTGAGCAAGCACTGAAAGAGGCTGCAGAGAGAGGTTGTGGTGTCTCCTCTTGCTCTAACCCCACATTTTAAACAGCACTCCAAAAACTCCACCAACAAGAAATTTAAAAATACATCAGTGATATGGCTTGGATTCCAGGCAGTTCTAACCTGCCTACCCAGGAATACTCAAACTAATCAGAGGGTCTCATTTCACAGGAAAATGCCTCATGAAAAACTTTTATCTTTACAAACACCTACTGCCAATTCCTGCTCTTTAACCCTTAAAAGGGATTTCATGCCAAAGCAATGTTTACCTCTCTGTGATCTGACTGAGATCTTATGGGCCCAAGACTGACATGAAGACACAGACCACATCTGATGTGCTCCACACAAGAATGGAATCATCCTCGTTCTCTTCCTCCCAATTCCCAATGGAAAGGCTGAAGGACAGGTAATACACTGAACCGCAGCAACTTGGGCTTGACCATGATGGCTCAGTGAATGGTAACAGTTATCTCAAAAACCTGTTTTTTTTTTTTTCTTTGTCCTTTAAAAATTACCAGAAGCCAGAAGCATTTTGGCCAAATATTTATGGAATTCTAAGCTTAAATTTTCTTAATTTTTGGAATAAGATTTCTTGGAGAAAACTTCTTGCACTATTCTGAAAAAAATAGACAATTCAATGAATATGTCATGTTGAACTAATTTTCAACAGAGAACAATATTCAAAGTTTCACACAGTGCTGTTCACTGAACAGCTGCTGAGCTTAATGTGCTTTTAATGAACTAAGCCTGGATTGTGCAGGAAGAACCAGCTCTCAAATCATTCGATCATGGAATGGTTTGAGTTGGAAGGGACCCTAAGGCTCATTTCATTCCACCCCTGCCATGGGCAGGTACACCTTCCACCACCCCAGGTTGCTCCAAGCCCCATCCAGCCTGGCCTTGGACACTTCCAGGGACCCAGGGGCAGCCACAGCTGCTCTGGGCACGCTGTGCCAGGGCCTGCCCACCCTCACAGGAACAATTCCTTCCCAATATCCCATCTAGCCCTGCCCTATGGCCGTGGGAAGCCATTCCCTTGTCCTGTCACTCCAGGCCTTTGTCCCAAGTTCCTCTCCAGCTCTCCTGGAGCCCTTTAGGCACTGGAAGGAGCTCTAAGGTCTCCCCCGAGCCTTGTCTTCTTCAGGCTTGACACTCTCAGCTCACCCAGTGTGAAAATCCCATGAGAAATAAAAGGTCTAATCTACTATTATCCACTCCTAATAGTGGTGAATCCAAGAGAAGATTGTGAAGTAGTGAAATGTGGATAACCAGTGTAACTCCATACAGCACAAGCAATGATCTCTCAGTACCTGTATCGAGCTAAGAACACCTGGAGCTTTGCAGCACCTTGGCTGCCTGGCTCTGGCATGAGGGAGATGCTGTCAACATCCAGTTCTTCCATTTCACTTGCAGTGTCCACCTAAAAATGTTAAAGATAAGGATCTAAGTAAAGGAACACTCAGTGTTTGTACATAGTGAACACATTCTCTAAACACATGGCTGGTGTCAGTCTGGCTCCTGGACTAAGGACCATCTCTAAGAATGACTTTTTAGTGAGGAAGTAGTAATAAGAGGCAACAGCCCCAAGTTGGAGCTTCAGGGTTTCCAGTCAGACATCAGCAAAAACTCCTTGCCCAGGTGGGTGACACAGCCTTGGGAACAGTGCCTTAGAGCTGGGATATGAGAAATGGACTTGTAAAGGATTCTCAAAGCCTGACTGAAAGCTCACACAGTCTTGTACATCTGTATGCAAACTCTGAGATAAGGTGTGCTGACTTAGAAAGGCCATGGAACAGAGAAGACATTGCTGAGAGAGAGACTGAACTAGAAACAAGTTTCAAATGATGGCCTTGCAAAAAGACCAGATATTTTGGAGAATCAGAACTGTGAAAGATGCATTGTGGCAAGATCACATGGGGTAGAATAACAGGTGATTGGTGTTGGAAGTATTAGCACCATTGTGTGGCAAAAGCTAGTAAGACTAAAAGACTAAAAACATTTATAAGGTATTGTAACCAGGAAATAACTTGGCTTCTAATAGAATGGCATTGAGTTTTACATCTCTTACGTTTCACCCTTCATGGAGACTGATAAAGGAATAAAATATTTTAAAATACCTCTCAGTTGCCCCATCTCTGTAGAGCTGGGATTTTCCAACACTAAGGGATCTCCATTCTGAAGAAGCTGTAGCCTGAGCTCAGCAAAGCCATGGCCACACTCATTTAGAGCTGGTGACAGTCCCACTAGAGGCTCTGGAGACCTCTTCCACTCCATGTATACATAATTCAGCATGTTGATTTTGTGCTACCTCTACATGGTAGCTGTGCCTGTGTCCAACACAAATGCCAACCTGAACAAAAGAGCTCTGTTGGATGCTGGGGTCTTTAATTGCTTGTGTCCTCTCCAACACCTGTACATTTTCTGTAGGATGTCTGTGTACTTTAGACAGAGCTTTGATTGGAACTTTTGGTTTTAGCTGGCTCTGCTAACAGCATATACTGAACGAAATACAAGAGTCAGGGCAGGAAGCCTCCATTCCTGTTACAACCTCTCCCTTTCTAGCCAGCAGCTCCTTCTGCACTTCCTAAGCTGAAGGCTGCACCGTCAAGGCATTTGGTATCTACTGGTGAAGCACCTTTGAGAAATTTCTCTCAGCTGCTTTGATGCTGGTGAAATTCTGGGATTTTATATCCAGTGGCAATGGGCTGTGTAATGCAACCCTTCTTCTTGAAGCAATGCAGTCCCTGGGTTTTGTCTAAACTTGTGCCAATGAACCAATTCAAGCTGCCTTTTTAAAGCATACCTCAAGGCAAATGTATTTTTTATGAAGACCCTCTGCAGGCACCAGAACACAAAGTATTTTTTCTAACACATGAAGAGCCAGAGTCAATCTCAGGAAGAGTTCAGAGTATCTTTTCAAGGTACTGTACTCCTTGTAATGCAATCCTGCCCTGTGTCCTTGGAGAACAAACACCTGTAACACTCAAACAAAGGGGCTTAGCCTGGAATGTTCTCACAATTATGTGCTGTGGAAGCCAAACACTGCAGGCATTAGCTCTTTTCCAAGGATCCCACACTGATCTCTGCAGGGATCTATCTCTCCAGGAAGGCATAGTGGCTTCCAAGCTTTCTCTTGAACTAAAATGTAGGCATTTTTCCTGCTATAGAATTGCTAACAGTTCCATACCTGTTCCTCCCCAGGTGTGACCTTCACTTTGGCTCTGAATATGGCACTTTCCTGAGCTCTTACACAGTGGGAGGCTCTGCCTGGCACTGATGTTGTGGGTGTCCTGACCGGGGCACCTCAGCACTTCAGTGGCTATAGTGCTCAGGAAACCCCAAAAGAACAAAAGGTCCCCCTCAGGCCACCACACCTGGCCCTCACAGCATTGCTCTGCCCTAAACCATCCCCTCAAGTAATGCATAGGAGAGAGAATCAACCCCTGCTCAAGTGAACCCCACAACACCACAAAAGGGCTCCTGGGGAGAAGCAGCAACAACTATTGAGGAGATCTTGGTGACACAAACATGCAAAGCCTGTTAGTTCCATCCTTCTTAGCACAAACTTGGCATCTTCTCATGGTTTCTTTCACCAAATAATATCTTAGTAATTAAAAACACCAGATAAGAAGTTTGAGCTCCTCATTCACAGCTCAAGGCCAAAAATAGTCTGGATGGTTTCTCTTCACGCTAAAAATTCCAGTTTGTAGCCTTTATGTGTTTTAGTGACAGTTGAGATGCCACAAGGAAGCTTAGCAAGAGCTATCTCACACCTCCCATCCCACTCCTTCTCCAAGCTCCCAGGCACTGTTTAACTAGTTGTTTCCTTCACGAAGCACAGCAATGTATTCACATGAGCATTACAGACATGGCATCCAAGGTAATTTCAGAATTTTCCTACAGTTTTTCTCTTGTTTATCCCATTTTCTTCAGGTAGCCAGAAGAGAATGAATGCAACCTTATTGGTGAATGCATGCGACCTTACTGGGGAATGAATTCAACTTTACTAGTGCTCTCAGCAATGCATTTATTTCCCTTCTGGCTGGAAAGTACAGGCAGAAGAGGGAACTCCCATACTGACCTCTGGAGTTGGGCAGGATTTGGGGCTGTTCTGCATGGATTCAGATTTTGAAGAGCTGGACTGAGACTCTCCTTTCTTAGATTGTTTCTGAGCACTGGTGGGAACAGCTGGGGAGCCCATGGTGGTGTCTGGCCCCTGCTGTGACAGCTCCAGCTTGTCATTCTCTTCATTGTGAACCTTCTTTGTACTCTGATGGAGCAACCCAGGAACAGCTGACTCTGCAATAAAATCAGCTGTCCATTAGTTACAGCCACAGGCAGGATGCAGGATCAGCAACGACCATCCCAGGGAGCAGCCTAAGTCTCTTCAAACGTGCCTCGTTCAACAGGCTGGACACCCGAGCTCTCCCTGGCTGCAGAAATGCTAACTTCTCTTTACAAAATGAACAAGAATGAACCCTATTTCCTATAGGGACAGAGATGTCAAACATTCACTAAACATTTGCATTATCTCCTTCAGCCCTTTTCATTTACATAAAAACCAACCCATTCGTCAAAGCCCTCTCAGGCATGTCCAGCAATTACCCTTCTCCCAGTGGGGCTGCGGGGCGGAGCTGCACAGAGCAAGGGGCAGCTCTGAAGTCACCAGAGTGGAGGTGAGAAGGTCGATTTTTCCTGTTTGAAGCCGGAATTGTTGGAGTTCCTGTGACAGGAGGCTGAACTGCTCTGTTTGACTGCGACACTGGTCTTCCAGATCCTTCACCCGGGCCTGCCACGAGAGAACAAGGTGAGGAACAAAGCCCTGTTGAAACACTGAGATTCCAAACAGGATTTGCCTTTGCTGCCTCTTTTCCCAGACACCAAGGAGCTAAAAGATGTTTTTAAATGCCCTGCCTAGCAACTGTCATTGGAAACTGGCAGCCTCATATGTCTACTTATCTTAGAAAAGCTGAGGCTCATCATCTCTGAGGAAGCTGACTACAAATTCCATTAAGACTTATCCCTAAAATTCTGGGTTTGAACTTCAATATCCTCTCTCAGCCCTGCACAAGACCAGATGAGACAGGTCAGAGATAAATAAGCCTTAAAAAGATTCAAAAGGCTTTGCATAGTTTTTGGAGCATCAAAATCATGTTTCCAAAAGGAATTGCTCTCCCAATTTTGTTCATCACTCCAGAGGCTCCAGCAAGCTCCTGAAACCTTAAACTGCCCTTCCCACCATTCCAGGCAGGACTGCCAACTGTCCCTCTGGACCTTGGCTCCTCCAGGCACTAGGAAGGGCAGAGAGCACACAGGTCCACGTTGCAGAATTCTCCTTTGATGTGGGAAGCCCATCATCTTTCCCCCCTGGTCCTACAGGGATGATTTACTCCAGGCAAATGCATGCTGAGGACAAGAAAGCTACACCTCACCAAGATGAGGTGCCAAGGAGCCTTGGGAAACACAATAGAGAGGGAAGGACACATTCCTGCCAGAGAACCATTTGTATTTTCCCATATTCTCTTTTCACCATCTCTAGAACTTCCTCTGACAAAACGTTGCTGATTCCTGGCTGGCTTTACACATTCCCACATTGCCCCAGGTTGTAGGCAGATCAATTCCCAGGTGATGGCACCTGCTCCTTTCTCTCCTCTCAATGTTTCTTATAGATAAGATGCACCAAAACAGATGACTGCACTGCACTCTTCAAAATTTTCCATTCTACAAAATGTATTTGAAGTATTTTTTTCTCCAACTCAAAAAATAAACGATGCCTTGAAATAATACATGAGACAGAAAGTCTAAGTTTTTAAGCAGCTCTAGAAACAACATTTCTGACCTGGAGAAAGCCCTCTGTATGGTCTCAGAGTAACACAAAACCTTTGTAGCCACTCCCCAAGGATTTAGGGGGGGTCATGCATTTTTATTTGACTGTGACATACCTGTCTGTTCTAGGCATTTCAGTTTATTACTTGTTCCCTCCACAAGTCCAAAGGTGTTCTCATGCTCTAAGGAAAGCCTGGTGAAGTCTCTCAAGTTTGGCAAGAACTATCTCTGAACTGAATTCAGATGCCAGGACTAACTTCCAGAAGTGTCTGTATTATCCATATGCTCAGAGTCAACTCCTTGTTTACTAAGTCACAGTGCACAGGACTCCTCTGCCATTATGAGAGTTGGAATTTACTTACAGTTCGGATTTTTCACATAAAGACTTCTCCCCTACAACACTACATCTTAATAGAGAAAAGAAACCCTCAACAGTAAGAACAGTTGCACTGGAACAAAGGAAAACTTCCTCAAGTCCAATATCCATCCCTGATCCCACCTTGGGACAGAGCCTGCAACAGACAAGTACAGAATGACTGCAGGACCAGAGGGGGATTTCCTGTCTTCTCTGGAGACATGAGGTAGCAGATGCACCTGGACATTGTGTTTAATAGCATCATAATAGTACCTCGTCCTGTAAATTTATAAACTACAGTTTAAATCCATTTACACTGGCGGCCAAACCAATAGCCCAGATAATTCACAGTTTAATTCTAACACACCTAATTAGTCAGGTGTCTTTTCAGGCTGTTATTCCAAACAACATACAAACATGCCTTAAGTACTACTGCCACATCATACACAAGGTGTACTTCTAGCAGCTACTTGCAGGGGACTGCAGACAGCTGGGAAGCAGCAGGTTTCCAGGGCAGTGCTGGGAGGCAGGAGGATAAGGAAGAGGAGGCCCGATGATGTGGCCAGAAGGTTCAGGGAACCAGCAGGAATCAAGCTCCAGATACAGAGAAGGCTTCTGTGTCTGTGCCCAACCCAAAACAGGGAGTCTCCCACAACAGGGACTGGACTTCCAGAAGAGGCTGCAAGAGCAGGAGCAGAACTTGGTGGGGTCAGTTTAACCACCAACTCAGGAACTGATTCTCCACACCCAACCACCACTAGCTTAGACCCATCCTCTAAGACACTCTAATTCTTGGCTGGTCTGTTCCACTCCTCCAGCTCATGCTCTCCTTTCAGATGTCCCTTGTTCTCTTTCTCCATATCTTCTGCTATGTAGTTTTGAGATCAGAGAATCCCCATTTTGCTAGAAGGGAATTCTACAGGTGTGCAGTCCAAGCTCTTGATAAAAGCAGGGCTGATGCCAAAGGAATTAAAAGAACATCCTTAACTCCACATCAATGTGGGTACAACTTCTACAGGATGTGAGCATACCCCAATAAAGTCCTTTCCTGAGACTTCCCACCATTTTACTACCTTTTAGACCAACTTGTGGCTGAGACTTTTTTTAAAAATCCCCTACCTCCAACCCAGCACCTGCTATGCCAGCAGGGAATTCTGAGCCCACCACCAGGCATGATTAGTCCCTGCTCTCTCTCCTCCACATGCCTTTGCACAGTCAGTATCACCTGCATTTTATCTCCCCATTCCTCCTGAGATCTCTGCCAGATTGAAAGGTTTTAAAGAAGTTTTCTATCAGCTACAAATCCTAGCACTTCTATACCAGCCTTCTTTCCAAACCACCTGTGAACAGGCCAGCTAGCACAGCTCCCAGGCTGGAACTTCATTAGTTACCACCTCTTCTGGGAAAACTATTATCCACAACCTCTGCTTCCCATATTCCACTCAATTACAAAGCCAGCAGGACCCATCTTTTTCTCCGTGACACTCATTTGCAATGGTGTCACTACTGCCTTTGGGCTTTGAAGGAAACACTTCACTCTTGGACTGCAAAGACACTTAAATGTGGAGAGGGAGCACAGCTGGACAATTCTAAAAATCTGGAAGTGACACAAAAGTAAGCTCTTAATTCTAATTGGTCAAGAAAGCATGGCACTTAGAGGGAAAAGCAGAAGTAGTTGCTCCATCAAACTCATAGTGTAACTCCTTTAATTACATTAATTGGCAGTAACACTCTTGCAATCTTTTCCAGAGTATAGTTAAAACAAGAATATCAAGCAACTGTCAAAGTCAGAACAGAGGGAAAAAATGTCCTGTTTGACATCATTAGAGCAGTACCTGCATGCAATCCAAAGTACTCTGGGAGCAAGAAGAAAAGCAAAAAGATAACAAACCACATGAGCAGTTACACTACAACACTCTGCCGAAGATAACCCAACCCTCAGTCTGAAGGAAATTGTTTTCTCACCAAATTAATGTCTGCCTTGTTCCATATTGAGATTCCCACCTCATTCCCAGAAGCATCTGCTTGCCAAACAAAAGCTAAATCCTACACACCAAATGCATGAATACGATAACCAGGCACTTTCTGAGGGCCTCCAAATCATAGTGTGCTTTGAGATAAAGGACAATATGCTTAGAGTGGCTGCTAAATTTCAAGCCCCCTTTTCCCAGCACATTGCACCCATTCAAAAATGAATGGAATGGACATTTTGTGCCCAGATCTTTCCCCAGGTCTGAGATCATGGAGTTCTGGGATCGAAAGCACAGCTCAGAACCTGGCTGTGACAGGATCTTAAGCCTGCTCAGTCCTGCATCCTCCTCCTATGTCAGGGAAAACACACAAACTTGAGCTCTGGTCTCCTCATTTCTCAATAAAACCGGATTCCTGGAAGGAGACTGCCTCCTTTTGTATCTATGCAGTGCCAAAGGCAGCTGAAATCTTGTCTCGTACTTTGGAACCTCTGAACTCCCTCACTCCCACGACCAGAACTCTCAAGCCTTTCTTCCTAATCTGAGACAGTGCTTCTGCTTCTCTCCATGTATTTCTGCACACACCCCATTCCATACTCTCCTCACCTCTGTCACTGCCTTATCTCAGAACTATAGAACACCTGAGGCTGAAGGAGATCACTTAGAGCACTGGGATCACCTGATCCAAGCCCTCAGCTCAGAGCATGATTCGCTGCCAAGAGCTCTGTCCAGTTCTGAACATCTCCAAGGAGAGAGACTCCACTTATGAAAATCATGGGACAGAACTCTTCAAACAGGAAAATGGACTAAATTCATTCTTCATTAATATAACATCAAAAAGCAATTCGAGCACATGTAAAAAAAGCAATACATAGCACAGGCATCACAAAACCCCTAATTATGCCATACACTGATGCTCTGGAATGAGTATGACTATAGTTAAGTAATTTAAATGACTATTGCTCTGCATTAAAGTGGCTTTTAATGACAGCTCCTCTTTCTTTGTTTTACTTTATGAAATACAGGGTCAGGTTGAATTGGACTCTGAGAAACCTGGTCTAGTGGAAAGTATCCCTCCCAACAGCAGGAGGTGGAACTGGATGAACTTTAAGGTCCCTTCCAACCCAAATCTTTCAATGATTCTGTCATCTCTGTACCAGTAACATGAAAGCAAGAATATTTCACTGATAAGGCCCTTGCAGAAGAACATTACCCTCAAACACAGAACAAGAGGACTGTGTCTTTCTTCCTTTGCACAGGGAGATGTCTGGTTACAACCTAAGTAGCTTCTCCAACCCTTCATTGAGTTAGTTCAGAAAATGTTTGGCAAACATCATAGAATCATCAAATCTCAGAATGGTTTGAACTGGAAGGGACAGTAAAGCTCATTTTGTTCCATGGACAGGGACACTTTTCACTACTGTGCTGCTCCAATGGTCTTGAAACAGGAACACAACAACCCTTCCTCCCCCTAAAGGCTGCTCAGAACCCAGCTAAACACCAGCTGATGTAGAGCAGCACCTGTATCAGCTGATCTCAGCTCTGCAGCCAAACACAGAGGACCCCTGAAGGATGGGCAAGGGCACAAGATATAATGTCACATGCCCCACTCACCCAGCCTGCAACATTTCAATCCTGTTCAGCAGGAGCCCAGCACTCTTGGGCTCTACAGCTCAGACACTGGCCAGGCCCCATCCAAATTTGGTGCTATTTGCACTCATGGAGCAATCTCCTCCATCAAGGACACTTCTCATCTGCATCAACAGTCCTTGGCTCCCAAGAGCCACAAAACTGCACAACAGTGGGCATAGGGAGTTCATTCTGACAACCCTGACTGTAACTACTGGAGACAGCAGCAGGGCCCCAAGGGATCTCACTGTCGGGGGGGTGGGTACAGTAAGATCTTCTGCTCATCTCAGATGTTTCAGTGCTCAGAAAACCTCTGAGAGAGCAGAAGATCCTCCCCTTGCTACGACACCCAACCCTCTGGCAGTCAGTAAATTGTCACATCAGGTTGCAAGGTTTGGTGCTGTGGCTTTGCAGCTCCACGAATCCAATGTTTTCTCCAAAGTCACCCTGACAGACACTGAGCTGATGCCAATCAACCACAAAGCAGTGCTCAGCACATCTGCCAGCCTGCACTGGTACACTGTCAGCCACAAGCCAAAGCACATTCCCTGTGTGCATGTCAGAGCAAACGGGACAAGGGAAATACCTCAAGCTTCACCACTCCTTATGCTCAGGTTTTCTTATTTTTATCTAAGAAATTTTTCTTATTTTTCCGTAATAAAACAAATAGAGCATACATACACAAGAGAAATTTTAAATCCCATGGACACAAGTATTCTCCTTTCAAATTATGCCAGAAAATGGAACAGGCAGATTTGAGTTTGATTACTAAATGCACCCCTAAAGGAGTTTTTAGGCATGATCTGAATGAAGTAACCATTCTAAGGACTGAGCAGGACAGCATGTAATTCCCCAAACTTTGACACAAATATTATTTTCACTGCAGCAACATGTTGCATCCAATCAAGGCACTACAACATTTTGCACAAAAACCAACAAAACCCAAGGCATCCAAACTGGTATTATAAACAAAAGGTACCAAATCTGGAGTAATCCCTCTTGTTTCTTTCTATCTTACCTCTAGAAGCTGTACTGCTCCCTCATGTTCCCTTCTTGCCTCTGCCTGAGCCTAAAGAAAAATAAGGAAGGGAGTAAATCAGAAAGCAGCCAACCTGAGTTCACTTCTACTGTCATCCTACCTTGGTAGTCCATTGTAGACTGGAGCAGGGGTCTGAGGAGGAGCAGCTGAGGGAGCTGGGAAGGGGCTCAGCCTGGAGAAAAGGAGACTCAGGGGGGCCCTTGTGGCTCTGCACAATTCCCTGACAGGAGAGGACAGCCGGGGGGGGTTGGGCTCTGCTCCCAGGGAGCAAGGGACAGGACAAGGGGAAATGGCACCAAGCTGTGCCAGGGCAGAGTCAGGGTAAATACTGAGAAAATTTCTTCACAGTCCCTGGCACAAACTGCCCAGCGCAGTGGTGAAGTCACCATCATTGGGGCAGTTTAACAGCTGTGTAGATGTGGCTCTTGGGGACATAGGTCAGTGGTGGCCTTGCAATGCTGGGGGAACAGATGGAGTCGATCTTGGAGGGCTTTTCCAACCTTCATGATTCCATGATTATATGATTCAAACCACTGTACAGTCTGGAAATATCTCTGGGCTCTAGACATACAGCAGTGAGAGGTCAGAACTGACATTCACAAGCAAAACCTTCACTTTGCTCAGGTACCAGAGTGCACCTGGACTCAGACACTCTTACCCTGTAAACTCACATCTACCTAGTCCATGCACACCTCCAAAGGTGAACGAGTCCACTCTGAGAGGAAAACGCCCCTGTCCTGCCCCACGTACCTGCTGCAACCGCCGAACCTCCTCCTGCTTCTCCTGCAGGACTAGCAGTGCTTCCTTGTGCTCCACTTCCAGCTGTTGCCTCCGCTCAGCCACATTTCTCATGTGCTGCAGGACAAAGCACACGCAGCTGAGGGGTGACACTACTGAAACTCTGTCCTGTGTTCTAACAACAGCCACAAAGCCAAACCAGGGTCTGTATTTCATGTCATCATTGCACAAAGTAAGAAAGTCCCATCACAAGGCAGAATAACACTGTCACAGAAAACCCTCAAATCTCTGATGGCCACTTTATCTCCCACCCAAAAGCGTGAAGCAGCCTTTCCAAAGCACCTCTGTCTGCTCTGGAAAGTTATGTTCCAGAATCCTGCAAAAGCAGAATTTCCAGTGGAAGCATAGAGACAAAAAAATGGTCAAAAAAGGTGAACAGACGACCAGTGCATTCAAAGGCAGGTGTTTGGACAGTCCTTCCAGCCATGCAGATCCTACTGACCTTCAGCACCTGCTCTAGATTCTCCAGCTTGGTTTGGAGTCCTTGATTAGTCTGAATTACTGAATCCCGTTCTTTAGTCACTAAAACAACCTGCAGTTTCAGGTCAGCATTCTCGGATTCAACCTGAAGAGAAAGGATTTTCGGTGAGCACAAGCAGCCATAGGTGCTCCTTGTAAAAAACAACAGAGACCAGTTTACTTCTGTGCTTTCTGCTGGCGATGATACCAAAATCACAAGCCTCTTCTCCCCCAGGTTTTCACTTAAAACAAATAAAAACAAATAAAGATTTCTATCAGGCCTTAAGGTGCAACACCTTATTTGCACACTGTTTCTCTCCTAGATTCATCTCCCCTTTTGCAAGAGGAAGAGAGTAGGATAGGAACAGGCTACATAATGAAGAGAGGAAAAAAAAAAGCACAAGGTCTGTAAGCATATTTAATCCTACATGGGAGGATTAAACACAGAACAGGACAGAAAATTCAGTAGCCTGCTGAAATCATCTTTACCTCCTCCACTTACCACAAGGAATTTTTGGTTCCAAGGTGCACTATGGCTTGATGTCTACCAGCAGTGCAAACAAACATTTCCACTTACAGCAGTTATTAAAGACATAGGAAGCCTTATGCATGGTGGCAAATTGACACATGGGACTGACAAATTACTTTCTAACTCTTGTGCATTATTCTCTGTCCAGAGAAGCAGCTGGGAACAGAAGATCAGCACACAACCTTAACTGAGCGGGAAACTTGAGAATAGCATGCTCTTCTCAGGAGAGCTTTGCAGCAGCCAATGATGCCAACCTAACAAAGACATTGCTTTTACCTGTCCTGCCCACTCAGCCTTCTCATTCAGCTGCAAGTTCTCTTCGGCCAGTCGTGCATTTTCATTCTGCACCTCCTGCAGCTGGATCTCCTGTCCAAAAAGAGCAGGAATTACACCAAGGTCCTCTGTCTAACTCCCCTAGATTATCCTGCAGAGCAGCTCCACTGCTCCTGGTTCCTGATGGTGCAGGATGCTGGTGGGATGCTGCTCAAGAGCAGGGAAGCAACAATGAGCAGCACTGCTCCAAGAGAACCCAGCCCTGGGCTGGATGATGGGGTTGGACCTGGATGACCTTTAAGGTCTCTTCCAACCAAATCCAGTCTGTGATCTCTTGAGCAAAGCAGAGCAGAAACAGAAGGGAGAAACCCAGATGTTCTGCTATGAGCTGCAAAACCTCCCTGGAACTAAACAAGATTTCAGTCAACAAGAAGCCAAGAAAATGGCAGTGCGATGGTGTTACTACCATTTCAACAATACCTGTCAGGAGTGCCTGTGAAAATGGTTAAGTATCTCCCCAAATTAGCAAATGTCATGGAATTTCATCCAGTGATTTGTGTAGCTGTATTCAGCCCACAGGTAGCTGAAAGACTAAATAAACAATCCCAGCCTTAAGGGCTGGAGCCCCAGATTTGTGATACTGTTCAAATGAACAAAAACACTGGTGATTCCTTATTAAGATGAACTGAAGAGAATCCAAGAGAGGCATACAACAACTCAGCTCCTCCAATTTTGTTTGTAACAACAGTAGGCAACAAGAACACTTACTAGTTCTTTGCATCGTTTATGCTTTTTCCTCACTTCATGCTCAAGGTTTTCACATTTTTTGCGCTTTTTCTTGAGTTCAACTTCCTGCAGGAAACAAGCAGAAGTAGATCAGCAAGCCCTGTGGGGCTCTTACAATGCATATGAAATTCAAGCCCAGCCTCTCAGACCCAGTGCTGCATTAGTAATTTTTTATTTTCTTATGAAGATCTCTTTGTGACAGTTAAACAATGTAGAAATCAAGGGAGATTTTTCTGAAAGTTAGGAAAATCAAAAAATAAAACAACTATTCCTCTCTTCCCCAAGCCTTCAGTCTGGAAACAGTTCTGCTTCCACATGCATGGACTGTTCCTATTTACACAATGAAGAGGACAAGGTGTGGGGGACAAAACATCAGAGCTGTATAACATTTTCATCCTTAAACACCAGCTGCGCAATTTTAGCTCCTATTCTAATCCCAGTGACACCTAACAGAGCACGGACATCCTCTTGATCTGCAGCTACTCACTAGCCCTCAGACTGACAGGAGCTGCTAAACTTCCCTATGCACTGTCTTAATTGCTGGAATAATTAACAAGGGATACATTCATCATCCACATCTGTCCCCAGTTCAAGTAAGTCTAAACCAAACACAGCACAGAACCTACTGGCATAGTGGCATGTTTCCCTCTCATCTGAGTGTGACATATTCCCCTGACAGCCCAGCACCTGGAACTGCTGCTCAGCAACACTCTGCATGCACATGGCCTGTGTTTTACTTCTGATTCCCCGAGCTTCCCACTTTTGCAGAGCAACTGCACCTAAAAACACTTCAGCCCCCAGAATCTCTACCTGGATTGCACATGTGAAGCCCCCAACAAAAACAAGAAAGTAGCAAACTCCTTCCCCCAAACCAGGTTCACAGCTCACCAGCTGCTGTATCTGTTTGCTGCTCTCCTGGTTTGTTACTGCATTTTTGGGAGGAAAATTTTCATGTCCTTCAGAGGCAGGTCCCAGTGGTTGTACACCTGGTTCCACCTGAAAGCAGAAGAGATGCCAGAGAGCTCAGGGACATCCTGAGACTACAGAGCATACCAAGGGAAAAGGGACTTTTTTGGCAGTACCACCCAGGAGAGCAGTGCTCCACAGGGAACTTCTGATCTCTGAGCTGCACTACTTGACATGGAGAAAGCTGGACACCTTGCCAGGGATCTCTGTGGTGGGAATCTCCTGGAGCCCACTGCCAACCAACCCAGCTTGACTGAAGCACCTCCGAGGAACAGTGGGCTCCTGGAAGCTCTCAGATCCAAGCTTCGATTTGTGCCTCACCTAATGACTCAATGAGAGGCAGCAGCAACACCTTTCATGGCTCTCCCCAAGGTGACACAGAGAGGGAAAGGGAGAACACAGCCCATAACATATGCTTCATGGTACAGGGTTCAGCCAAAGGACTGGCAACAGCCTCCTCCCTTCACCAGTGCTGTCAGATTTAGCTTAGCTGACTTGTTTGTCAGCCAGAAAATCTTCTGAGTGAAGATAGACTCTCCTGAGTCAGAGAAACAAAGCACATGCATGAGAAAAGTCATCTTGTGTGACAGAACCTGCAGAATGAGTTGGAAATCAAGGTATGGAAGGGTCATTCAAGAAAGGTAAGGGCATGGCAGAGGGGAAAAAACCACCTGTGCATCCCTCTTCATCACAGCAGATTTTGGGGGGAGGGGGGGAAATGGGGGCTGAAATCTCAATGAAGAACAAGCCTGAGAACCTCTCTGAAACTGAATTGTCTATAAGAACGGTGGAAACCAAGAAATTAAACACCAATAAACCACCAAGATTGTATAATATTCACCTCAGGGTTAAAAAAAACCCTTTGGCATGAACTGAATCCCTCACTTCAGCAGGAACTGAATCAATACATGCAGCAAGTAATTTCTCTAACACTGCCTTAACATGAAATACCTGGAAGATGGCAAATGCCATACTTTAAGAGTATTCCAGAGTTTTAAGCATATTCCACTAGATATCTATACAAAGACCAGTACATTTGACACCAGTTCTGGGCAAACTGATAGAAATTGCATAAAAGGCAAATACTTTAAAAAAAAACTTATATTGCAGCAGGGGGAAACATATTCACAGATCTATAAAGAGACTTTTTTTAAGATGTCAGAAAGTAAGTGGGTGAGGGAGACCCAGTAGGAACCTGCTTGGGCATTCAGCTGCAGTCCTTTCATAGGTGTCTGCAGGCACTGAGCCACCACATGGTGAGGGGAACATTTTCTCTTGGGTAAATGTTCAGTAAAAATGAGAGGGCTGGAAAAGAGGGAGCATGAATTGTGCTCTGCAAGTACTGATGTAGCAGAGACAAACAATGATAAGGGCCTCGTGACACTGAGTGATTACAGAGACTAACGATGGTTTAATACAGAGTGCTTAGACAAAAAGGTAGAGATCTTTTGGGAAAGGGAGAGAAAACTTCATTTATACTATCATATAAATCAATGCCACAGCGTCCAGGATGCTGCTGCACACTGCTTCCCCAACACAAAACTGACTGAGAAAACACACAAAGGAGAGAGACAAAGATGATGAACACTGAATAATGGAAGAGGCTGGGAAGAAACAAAACAAAACAAAACAACAACAACAAAAGCTGAAGGAGAGGGGTTTATAAATCCAGGAGTGACTTGGAGTAGACGGACAAGGCATAAATATTCAACGCATCCGCTGTAAGAGCCGGTGGGCAATAAACAAGAGCAGCTGGCGGGGAGGAGGGGTAAAGATGCGCAGCCCGATCTCCCACCGGGGCATGTGGGATTCTACCACGGGAAAAAGCCAGCAGAGCCCCCAGGCACCAAATCCTCCGGAGCTCGCGGATCGGAGAGACCTGACCCCTCGGCCCGGGGGCACAGCGGCACTGGGGGCACAGCGGCACTGGGGGCACAGCGGCACCGGCGTCCCGGCCCCGCGGAGGCCCCGGCCCGAACGGCAGTGCTCGGTGGAAGCCGCTCTCCGGCGGGGCCTCGGGGCCGCCCGGCGCGGCCCGGCCTTACCTGGCGGCGGCGCGGCCCCCTCCAAGGCCCCGCGGCAGCCCCGGCCCAGCGCAGCCACGGCACGGCACGGCACGGCACGGCACGGCACGGCACGGCCTCACCTGGCGGCTGCGCGGCCGCGGCGGGGGCGGTGCCCTGAGGCGGCCCCGGATCTGCCCCCCCCGGGCTGAACCACTGCGGGCGGAGGGGCCGGCGGGGTCCCGGCGGCTCCGGGCGAGGGCAGATTCTGCCCCTTTGCTCTGGTGACACCCCCTGGAGCTTCCTCCAGCTTGGGACGCCCCGATGCTGGAGCGAGTCCAGAGGAGGCCCCGGAGCTGCTGCAGGGCTGGAGCCTCTCTGCTCTGGAGCCAGGCTGGGAGAGCTGGGTGCTCACCTGGAGAGGAGAAGGCTCCAGGGATAGCTGAGAGCCCCTGCCAGGGCATAGAGGGGCTCCAGCAGAGCTGGAGAGGGACTGGGGACAAGGCATGGAGTGACAGGACACAGGGAATGGCTTCCCATTGCCAGAGAGCAGGGATGGATGGGATACTGGGAAGGAATTGTTCCCTGTGAGGATGGGCAGGCCCTGGCACAGGGTGCCCAGAGAAGCTGTGGCTGCCCTTGGATCCCTGGAAGTGTCCACAACCAGGCTGGACAGGGCTTGGAACACCCTGGGATAGTGAAAGGTGTCCCTGCCCATGGCAGGGGGTGGGATGAGATGCACTTTTAAGATCCCTCCAATCCAAACCATTCCATGGCTCTATAAAGAAGAAACATTACCTGGTTTCCTAGGTGGGAAAACAGCACAGGAACCCTGTGCTAGGGAAAATAAGCAGGACTGGGCTCCTGCCACGGCTCAGTGTCCTTGTGCTGGTGTGGGCTGCCAGCAGTATCCATGTCCCTCATCACCCTGAGACCTGGTGCTGGAATCCATCCCTTTGGAAACCAGCACTGCACCTATTTGCAGTGGATGTGAACCACAGCCCTCACCTTCTCTGAGTGAAGTTCCCTAAGAACAGCAATTAACTGAGAAATTAAATAGCCGAACTTTCTGATCGCTGACCCACTTGTCTCACCTCCCTGCGAGCTCTCCCTCCCAGTGCTGGGTCTCCCAAGGCCTCCTTCAGTCGAGGTGCACCTCTGAGGCAGGACTTTGTCGGTCCCAGACGTGTGGCAGCACTGGGCATGGCACTGCCTGAGCTCATTTTGGAGGAACGCAGACACTCCTTGAAATTCTTGAGCGCGATCTGCCTCTGGAGCCGCAGCACCTCTTGCTGCGATTCCCGCAGCAGGCGGTCAAACTCGATGATGTTCAGGCAGCGAGGGTCGTCCTGTGGGAAACCAACCATGGCACCATGCACTGACAGGCTCCAAAAGGTGAAACATGTCACATTTAGCATGCAAACTCCCAAAGAGGAGAGGCTGGAAAAACCCAGGTAGTGTGGCACACATGCATGGCTGATTCCTGGGTCTCCAACGCCCCAAAACTCACTTTACATCCTTGATGTAAATACATTATTTCTCGTGAAGATAAAACGCAGCCTGTAATGCTCGTGCAGCTCTCCCTGGGCTTTTGCAAGCATGGGCCATCTCAGCACATGCCAGCAGAGAGCGTGGCAGGATAATGTCATTTCACAGCCCAGCCAAACCAGAGCTCTCGCTGCTTTCTTTACTCCTTGGTGTGGGTGCTGATAAGCACTGGGCTTTGAGAGGTTGCAGGAATGAAGAACATCTGAGATTTGGTCACTTCTTCCTCAGGATAATATTTGCTGTCCTAATATTCTTGATTTCTCTCCTCTCAAGACAGTGTGCGTGATGGACACCTATCTACAGCACAAGGGATCATTCCCATCCACTCATGACCCAAACACAGCAGCTTTTGAAGGAAGCCAGCACAATCTGACTCTCACAAAACCAGGGAGAAGGTTTCCAGATTTCAGGAAGCTGAAGAAACACATACCTGCATGTCTATACGTACAAAATCAGGTTATGAAAATCTGTCTTTGAAAATTTGCTGCTGGAAAGACATTGTTCATTCCCCTGGAAAGCTCCTAAGCCAGAGAATTCAAGACATAATTGGTATCCAGGACAAATTTAATCTGCTTCCCTGCTTGCTTCTTTTTTGCCCTAAAAATAGTGTGTGCTTTATAAATACAATTTGTGGAGAGAACCATGGTTACTCTCACACTGCAAGGGGGAAACTGAGGCAGCATTAATGGGAACTGATTATAGATTCAAGAAGTGAGCAGCTGGGCCCCCTCTGTGCCAGACCCGTGTTCAGGCTATCAGGGCAGTAGTTCTTTTAACAAAATTGGCTGGGGCCATGTACAAGATCTCCCTTCCCCCACCACAAAAAGGCAGCTATTCCTAACAGACAGTCTCTGGAGCCTGGGGGAACAAGGGAGTAGAAAAAAAGCTCAGTCCTCCCCTCAGTTTCTATTATATCCATCCCCTGCAGCTGTTCCCCCCTGTCCTCCACTTCCAAGAATCCATGCTGCAAGGAATTGCAGCCTGGATTTAGCTGGAGCCGGGGTTTGGTTGGAAGCAGATCACTGGAGTATGATCTCAGGAAATTATTTTATTCCATCCTAAGAGCCCTGGCTTTGCAAAACAAGGCAAATGCATTTGCAGCCCAGGCTGCAGGTTGTAAGTCCTGCTACTGCCAGAAAACTGAGTGGATACATTTCATAGCTACTGAAAAATTTCTACTGATTTAAATACCCAAGATTAAAATTGATTTGGTTACAAACTCTGAGCATGAACATCATATCTCTGCATAAAACACCCTTCATTGGCATAATGCATTTTGCATGCTGCAGACAGATTAGGGGAATTTGGAATTTCAAGTAGCTGGAAATTAAAATTTAATGAGCAGTTTGCTTGGAAGAGAAATGGGAAAAACAAGATCAGACAGAATGATCTATATTGCTCTCTTTTCTGTGGATTCCCTGCTCAGGTATCAATGTCCCAGTTGCTGGTGGCACAAGCAGGGTCACCTTCTGGAACAGGGTAGTCACCCAGGTCACACAGGTCAGCCTAGGAAGGCAGTTACTGAATTTGTCAGCCCTGGGGGTTGCACTCCTGTGCCTTTTCTTGGCCAGGAATGAATCTTGCTCACCCACTTCTGTCGCATTCCTTTGCAATCTGTCACTCCTGTCCCTAGCAAGTTCAGGTCGCCCAGCACACTCTAGTAGGAAAATCAGAGTGCTTTCAAAAGGGTCTGTTCCCCTTTCTGTGGGGGCCTGAGGTGAGAAATCAAAGAAATAGGAAGGAAACTTCTTGGTGACACTGTAGAGCACAGAAAGACCTGTATAAGTTTGTCCTGTGGTTTAATGCCAGGAAAGATCAATGGGGCAGCTCTGTACAAACACCAAGTACACCCCATTGTTCTAATCTTGACTAGATCTACATTAGGGAAAGACTGAGAATCCACCTTCAAACATGTAGTTAAACTGAACATATGTGAGGGTCAGGGACAAAAATAAAGCTGTTTTCAGTGAGGAAGTATTTGTCACCTAAATACCACATAAGTAGGACAGGTAGAAGTGCAAGTGTTCAGCTCAGCTGGGAGCAGGGAGGTAGGGTGGCACTTGACCACATTTGCATTAGCAAAACGGGAAAATCATCATGGGCCCAAGTGTTACTGAGATCCTCTGGAGATTTGAACTGACCTAAACTGCAAACATCCCGTCTGGGAATCAAGGATGCAACTAAGATGCCTGGAACATGTTGCTTTAGTCACCTTTAGTGGGAACCATCTCACCCAGCCCCAGTTATCTGCAGAGACTCCTTTCAGAGCCATCACAGAGAAGAGCTCTGCAGGAACAATACATCTGACCAGTCCTAGATCTCAGGATGAGCTGAATTACCACTTTATCCCACCATTTTTATTAGTATAGCCTGTGCTGGTACTGAGGGGAATGCAGATCACCAGCCCAGGAGCAGACACCAGCACTGGGGATGGTTTCATTAAGACCCAGCCCTGCCTGGTGATTTGTAGCCTTTGTCATAAACATATCAGGAGGCACTGAGTTATCCCCAGTTTCATGATGGCTGTGACTCCTCAGAAAGCTGCAGCTCAAAGCTGGGGATCTAGACTGGTTTTTGGAAATGTAGTGATTGGCTTCTCAAAGAAGCACTTTAAAAGGAGGCCCTGCTTCTACATCTTCTACATCTGAGCTTGCAGCTCAGCCCTTTGGAAAGTCACCCTGTGTCTGTGGCCTCTCAGGGGTTTCCAGGGAAGGAGTTTTAGTCACTGCTGGAAATGGCAGCTCAGATCCATGAATTGGTGGAGGGACAAGCAGGGTGTCCCGCAACACACTCTTCTGGAGAGAACTGGACAGTCTCCACCACACACTCCCCCAAGTGTCCCTATTCAGCTCACACATCAAATCCCCTCCCCTATTTCAACCTCCGCTTGAGAATAATTCCCCTCACACCACTTCCCAGAGTCTGGTTCCCATCACCACTGTCGTGCTTGTCCCCAGCCCTGGATTGATGTCCCACAAACCATCTCACCTTCCCTGCCAAGAGTTTAGCCTGCAGTTCCCGGCATTCCTGCTGAAGAGCTTCAATCTGCTTGTCTTTTGCCAGGAGAGCACTGGCTTGCTCTGTCAGGTCCTTGGCACGCTGGTGGGCAAATGCTTTTTTGCACAGTTCCAGGCTGGAGCCCTTCAGAGGCACTGGAGCAGTTACCTACACCAGAGAGCAGTGAGGTGTGTTGATGTGGGATAACCACCACCCCATCACCCGTTGGTGTTCAACAACCACCACCCCATCACCCAGCACAGGGAGCACTGTCAAAAATGCAGCCTGACCGCAAAGGACAGACAAACAGACAGAGGAGCAGGACAGGCCTACAGAAAAGTAGAAGAGGAAAGGCTGGATGGAAAAGTGGCTCAAAAAGAGGTTCAAAGAGGGAAGGACAAGGTACTCAATAGGTACAGCCAGCACAGGGGCTGCAGGCGGGGCAGAAGTGGGGAGGGGAAGGAGAGAAAAACAGGATGAGGTAAAAAAGACAAAAGAAGGCAGCAGAGAGGAGGGGAGAATGGCAGGAAAGATGAGCATGGGATCAAATAGAGCATGGGATCAGGGATAGAGGTGGCCAGTAAGAGAAACAGAGATTCCATGGGTTTCTAGCAGGAAAGAGCCTCAGCATGGATGGGCAGAAGATAGAGAGAAAGGCAGAGGCTAAGGAGAGCCAGGTCCAGCACAGGCAGGGAAGACTGGGGAAAAAAAACAGGACTGGAAGAAAAGCAGTTTGGGTTCACATGCTCCCTAGGATGGAGGAAAGCGTAAGGTGGGGATGGCAGTGTGCTTAGGGAGTGGGGCAGGCAGGAACAGGCAGCTGGCTCAGTACAGGCTCTGCCCAGGCAGGAACTGAGGCTGCCTGGGACAGTGTCCCTGGGATGTCCCCATGCCTGGAGTTGGCTCTCCCTCTGGGTATCAGCACCACAGATGGATGAAGGGGCAGCTCAAACTCTCTGTTTACCCCAGCCCTATGGGCAGTGATGATACATCCAGTCCCTGGGTTTATCCAACCCTGCCTCTCTCTGCCCAGCTATTTTCATCTGCACAAAGCCTGACAGTCTGGGAAGGGGATCCCCTGCTGCCAGATCAGGCACATGGAATCCTCTGTGCGAAATTTTCTTCCCCAGGTCTTCCCAAGCATCTCATGCACATGCAGAAGCTGTGTGGCCCTGGCTCCACACGACCTGAGTAGCAAGCACTGAGGGGACCTGGTGCCAAATTAACCCTGGCTCCTCAGGTCCCTTTCTCCGGTCCTGCCTCCAGCCCACCCTCCACAAGGCTCAGCCATCCCAGCAGTTGCTGCTGTCAGGACAACTGGGCCAGCGCAGGAACCCAGCAAGTCAGTTCTCCAGGACTTGCACAGGCCCTAAACTGTCCCTACCCCAAAGTTTCACTGGGGAAACAAATAAAACAGTATTTGTAGAGTTGCTGGAGGGTCTGCATAGTATGTCAAATGGTTTCTCTTAACATAGTATCTGACAAGTCCATCTGTTGCCCTGCAAGTAACAAAATCTCGTGACAGACGGGCAACACAGTGCCTGGGGACAGAGAGGGCAGTAATGCCAGGAAATCCCCTTACCTTCTCTCCAGCACAGCTTTCACTTCCTCCTTTCTACCCTAAATGGCTTGAATTACCCATCACAATCCCTGCTTTCCTTCAGGAAGTTGTGCCCAAGATCCCACACCCTACAGCCACCTCTCATTGCTGCTGCACCATGTCACACACTCCAGGGTTCACAACAAGCTGCTGTTGGGTTGGGAAAGGCAGTAGCCCTGTGGCTTTGCACAGCATTTCCAGTGAGGTGTGGATGGGACAGAGCTGCCTCTCACCCCTTCCTGTTTTGCTTCACCACACTCCTTTTCTTATTCAAATCCTTCCTGTTTCTTTTTGATGAAGTCAGATGAATTATTTTCATGACTTGCCCAAAGAAAGCTGAGTTAATTACTTTAAACTATGACCTTACAGTAAGAAACCAAGCAGGAAGAAATTCCTCAAACCAGCCCCCAAGAGGAGTAGAGAAGCTGATGATGGCTGGGGTTGGTGATTCTTGCTCTGCTATGACATGCAAAGCATGTTTGCTGTAGGTTCAAGAAAAAGGGAAAGGAAAGGTCTTTCTAGCTCGATGGAAGCAGAAAACCAAAGGTCCTGGTGGTGAGGCGCTCTCCCAGCCCAGCTCCCCAGCTGCAGCAGGTCCTGGCACCCACCACTTTGAGGTTTGCCTCCTGGAGCTTCCGGGCTCTCTCCTCCAGGCGCTTGGCAATCACCGCCAGCTCCGCGTTCTTCCTCTTCAGGTGCTTCACCTTCTCCTCTGTCTGCGGGAAGCAGCTCCTGCGCTGGAGAGCAGAAGGAGAAGTTAGAGGTGAAGCCTTTGCTCAGGAGCCAACATCGCTGCCTCTACCAGACCTACATAGGGCACACAGGCCTTTTCCCAGCCAGGGCTTGGCCGGTTCTCCTAGAACTATCCCAACTATTGAATACCAATCTGTGTTGCCTCTCCAGTGCCTGAAACCTGTGTTTTCCTGGTGTTTTTGTTAATCTGACCTCTCAGTTGCCATAAAATGCCCCTCACCCCACCCCAGACCATCCCACATGGTCCATCTCCATCCACAACCTCCCTGCTGCAGGCTCTGCTAGGACTCAACATGTCTCCACCATCAGGGTATCCTGGCCACTCACCCTTTGGGCTTTCTCTTCCAGCCTTCCCAGTTTATTTCCCCAGGATTACAGTACTCAACACATCCCTGAGGATTTGTACTGCACCACCACAGCAAGCTTATCGTGTCCTTTCTGTCCTGACACCAAAGCATGAGCAGGAGAAGGCAACAAAGGACTTTATGATATTTGCAAAGCAAATTTCTTTTTTCTTCCTATTGATTCTGTTCACTCTTAATCTCCTTTTATTTGTTATCTGTCTGTTCTAATAAACTGCCACTTGCCAATGGCTCCTTCTCCCAAGGTCGAACCCAGATGTGTTGTGCTGTCTTTTCACATCAGCAGAAATGTCAGGTCGACTGATCCTCACAATTATTTCCCTCCCTCCCCCTGTGAAAGTGCACTATGGGCACCTGGGCTGGAAGGCTGAGCCTGATTTTTGAGAGTCAAATTTAACACACAAGCTTGTGCTTCACTAAAATCCAGATGACTGATAAGGGGTAACCCCTCAGGGTACAGGTCATGCTGAATTTATGCTTTTAGTGCATAAAAAAGACCTAAAATAAGCTTTTTGAATGGGGAGATATAAATCTGAAATGCTGAGCAATCAAATATGCCCAGAATGGCTGGGCTGCACCCCAACACTGCAGGGCTGGGTAAGGGATGATGCTCTCCAGGGAGGATTCAGGAGGGGAATATCCCCTCTTTCCTGAGAGTCCTGGCTGCTCACCTGGGGAGTCAGGGATGAGGGAGGAGGCAGAAGGCAGAGGGCCCAGGCTGTGGCAGCCTGGCTTGGCTTTGGCATGCAGCTGGGGAGGATCTTGGTGCTGGTCTCTCATGGGAGCAGGAGGCAGTGCTGCACTGTAACCCAGAGCCAAGGCTGAGTGAATCAGTGTTTCTGCTTTTCCAGTTAAAGAGGAAACAAGAGTGACTTCCCGTCCCCTGCCCAGCCCTGCTCTGCACTGCGGGGAAGGGTCCAGCTCCAGCTGACGGCTGCAGCGTGAAGGCACCCAGGGGACCCAAAGCGCACAGTCGTCCTCTGTCCTCTGGCCCTGCCCAATTATCCCATGAGCTCAAGAGCATTTGGACAATAGTCCTGCACATGGTGTGACTCTTGGGGATGGTTCTGTGCAGGGCCACAACTTGGACTCGATTATCCTCGTGGACGCCTTCCCACTCAGCATGTTTTGTGATTCTGTGACCTCTTAGAGCTGGCAGCAGACAGCAGCTCTCTGTGTCCAGGACTCCCTCCCCACAGAGCATCCCATGGCAGCATCTCCTGCTCACCAGCAAGCTGTTCTCCTCAGCCAGGCTGGAGCAGCGGTGTCGCAGGTCCTCCAGCGCACTCAGGAGCTTTGTGTTCTGGCTCACAAGGAAGCTGTAGTCAGCCCCACTCTGCAAAATAGCACAGAGAGGCAAGGCAGGGCTTCACCCACCTGAGGCACGTCCTGCAGACCACAGGGATTCACCAGGGGCAGTGGCAGAGGGGCCACAGCCGCACATCAGCCCCAGCCCCATAATGAGCTCAGCCTCCCTGTGCCAGTGCTTGGCAGGGTCAGGGTGCTGGTGGCAAAGGGTGGGATGTGGGGGCTGGTTTCAGGAGGAGGCAAGGGGCTGCATGTCCAGTGGGGGATAACTGGCCTTTGAGGTCGCCCTGAGGGTGACAACTGCCATCTCCATAGCTTTCAGAATTCTTTCAACTTTCACCCAGGGAAAAAGCCCAGACCCTTCAGTTGTCCTGAGCCATGGCACTATCCAAACCGGCTCAGGTGAAGCACGGGCAGAGCCAGCAAGACCCAAGCAGGAAGAATACAACCCCTGACACTCCAGACATGTGTGCTGCTCCTCACAGCTAAGGGACCCAGTGGCTTCCAGCACCACATGGCTTTGGAGGCAACCAGACTTCCTTGCCCTCTTCCCCTCACCAGCACTAGTGTGACTCAGGAGAGTGCCCAGGAGCCAGACCCCAGATCTTCCTCTCTGTGTCTGTGGCTCCGGAAGGTGACATGCAAGATTCTTTGCAAACACCACCTTCATTTTGGCACCTCAAAAGCAGCAGCAGCAGCAGCTCTGCCGGGAGCTGTATATAGAGTTTTGCGGTTGTTGCTTCCTGCCGAGAGCAGCTCAGCACAGGCTTGCCACCGGAGCGGCTCCCAGCAAGGATTTCTGGGTGTTAGCAAAGCTCGGAGCTGAGCTGTTGCTTCACAGCTGCCATATGGCAGTGCCTCAGGAAGATCCAGCCACATGTTTTCCCAGCAGCCAGGCAGGTCTTGCAGGACCCACTCCCAGAGCCCAGCAAGTCTCTGCTGAATGGCTGCAACCTTCCTGGTGTGCACAGCTCTGCCCTGCAATTTTCCAGCCAAAGCCACGGGGGAAGCATCCCTCACTCCCAAAGGAATGCTGCCCAAGCTTTCTGGGTAGCAAGAGCTTAGACAGGAGTTCAGCTCTAGGAGGTCTCACTATACTTTTGAACAATTCTGGTTTCTCCATCATGTCTATTGTAAAGATAGGGCAGGAGACCAGTGCCACAAAGTCCCCTCCCACTGAATTCTCAAGCGTGGTGACATGCCCATGGCTCTCCCAACCTCTCACACCTCTATGGAAATGCATTGACAAAGCGGGGGGGGGAATACAGCTGAAGGAGGTTGAAAACAACCACAATAACAAAAACAACCAACAAACAAACAAAACAAATAATCAGAAGATGACACCCAGCCCTTCCCATCAGTCTCACGTGGTGTTCCCAGCTCCATCAATTCCTTGAGACACCAGGATAGGTGTGCCATGAGCTGACAGGCCTTTGGCAGAGTGGTTTGTAGATGCCCACCCTCCCCACAGAAATCCCAGTTTGTGAAAGCTGGAGTGAAATATGTCCCCTAGAAGGAGACTGCTACCCACACGTGGGAAAGCAAGATTATATCTTCCTCTATTTTCTTCTCTCCTAGGCACTCCAGGCCACCGTTCCTGGGGACATCACACTGCAGCACCTGGGTGCCCTCTCCTGCTCTCCAGCAACTTAGGGCCGCTCCCAGGGATGGTCAGGGTAGGCCCAGGAACAAAGGAAATCCCTGAACTCAGCATCACAGGGATGCCAAGAAGCTCCCCTGGGAGCCATGTGCACAGCTCTGTGCCCAGTACCAGCTCCTGCTGCATCAGTCCCATCCCTGCAGCTTTACAGGGACAGGGAGGTGTCCTGGAGACCATTTCCCTGTCACCAGCTCCAGGAACAGCAAAGCACTTTCTCAGCCTGGGAATCCACATAGGGGACACTGCAGGTGACAGAGGGGACAAAGCAAGGCAGGTTCATGGAGAGTGGGGTCCCACCAGCATCTCCTGTGTATGGCAGCACCTCAGGATGTTTCCCTGCTGCCACTCCCAGAGCCAAACAGGCAGCCCTGTGATGAAGTCAAAGTGTATTATTTCCATCTCCTTGCCACTGCGAAGAGGCCTCAAAATTCTTGTCTGCGGTTGCCCTGGGTGAGACAGGGTGAGTACCGTGAGCCAGCAGCCCCTGCACTGGGATGGGAGCAGGAGAGCTTCTGTGTTCCTGCCCCCGCCACCAGCCAGCCGGGACTTCTGACATCAGCAGCATGGGGTTTCAGTAGGGGACAGTCAGCACCTCCAGCATGGCCTGGGGATATTTTGGGGACCTACATTCAAATTTCTGCATTTGAAACCCCATTTCTGTAGCCAGACCCATTTCGTCAGGGCAGGATACAAAGGTTCATAACCCCTCACCCCCACCAGGCCAGGCTGTCCTCAGCTCAGCCCAGGTTTCGTGTCACTACTCCAGAGCCCATGACATGGCAAAGGCTGGCATGTCCCTTCCCATTCCGTGGATGTTGCAACTTCCCCAGGCAAGGTGCCATGGAGCAGGAGAGTGTGGCTATGTGCTCCAGGCTGGGGCCAGGCACGGGGCCAAGCCTCTCCTATGCCAGCATGTCCCTCTGTGGCCGCAGCTCCTTGGGGCTTTGCCCAGAGAGACACAAGGGACAGCAGCAGCGAGAAGACGTGGAGGCAGGAGATCCCTGCTGTGCCAGGACGTCTGTCCCACACCGGGACCTCACTGCCACGAAAGCTTTGCCAAACCTTCCCGTTGGCTCTGAGACAGTGCTGGCTGCGTTAGCTGAGCCCTCCTCCAAGACCACGGCGAGCCTGGAACCAAAGGGCTGTCTAGACGTCATCCCACGCTCATTAAACATTCATTTCCTATAATGAAATGGCTTTTAATTTATCAACCGCTCTGCAGTTTCCTAAGGATCCTGCGCTGCACGGTGCAACCTCGCTGTTGGCTGCACTCAGGGTTCTCACGGTGTTTTTCATGGAGAGCTGGAAGAAGTCATTAGGGAGGAGAGGCACAGAGGCTCCCCCCAAAGTGACTCATCCAGATGAAGACATACAGAAATGTCAGCAGGAGCTGGAATCCAAATGCATTCATTGGTTAGGAAGGTTTTCCATGAGTCAAGGCAGAGCTGACACCACGGGGCAGCAGAGAGGGTCTCCAGGCAGCCACATTCCCCAGATCAGGAGCATCCTTGGCCACTAAAATATTAACCTAAAAATTAATGCAAGTGACGTGGTCTTTTGCCACGGGGAAAGTTTCTAAAATGAGAGGAAGGCAGGAGCAGAACAGCAGGGATGCTGAGGGAGGAGAGCAGCAGGCACATGGCTTTGAAGCCTCTATTTCATCTGTCGTGCCTTTTGGCAGGTAGAGCCCAAAGTTTCTCCAAGATGCATTGAGAACAACAAAGAAAGAAAAAGCTTCAGCATGGCAGCTGCCAGAAAACTGCTGCTTTTTCACCTGAAAGCTTCAAATGCACTCGAGAGCTGTAACAGCTTTTTTGCAGGGAGAGGTGCCCAGCCAGGCTGCTAAATGGGTCATGCAAGCAAAATCCCTCTGGAGCACCCAGCATCCAGCACAGTCCTTAAAGTCCTGCAGAAAACTTGCAGGAAGCCATCGGGGGGCAGTAAATCAGGCAGCACTGCACCACAGCCTGGAACCCACCGGCCAGGGCTCCCCCAGCCATCGCGGGGAACAGCCAAAGTCTAAACCCACCCTTGCTTTGAAATCCCTGCTGAAAGCCAGACAGGCAGGAGGAATTTACCAGGTGACCCCATGAGCAGTAGGTCTCAGGTGGCCTTTGGAAACAGGCGGGCACACAGATGATTTGAAAACAAACCTAATTTGAGGGTGTAGAAACTACACATAATTTGAAGGTGTATAAATCACTGACAATTTCAAGATGCCCTGACTTCTCCATCTGCAGCTGATCCAGGGTCCAGTTCCTGGGTTTGCTTTGCAGGAGCCATCTCTGAACACAACAGCCCTCTGCAGACACCTTGCAGAGTGATTTCCCAGGTGAAGCTATCCCAGCTCTCCTGCTATCTTGGATATATTAAATCCACTACCTCTTCTTCATTTGAAATAATTGTCCCCAGGCCTCCACCATGTCAAAGCCCTTTAGCTGTTCATTCCACCTGACTTTAGTAATTAGTTCCCTTAACTTCTCAATCCTCTTCACTTGGAAATGAAGCCTGTCATTGCCAATCCATTTTCTCCTCTTCCAGACAGTTTCAAGGGAATCAGCCACCTCACAGGACAAAGTTATTTTCCATAGGCTGCTCTTCTGCAGTGTCCTCACTGCATGTCAAAAGCAAGACAAAAATAGCCTCACCTCCTGTTCGGTCAGTGAGCAGAGCAAGCCCCAGTGCTGCCGCTGCAGGCACAGCGAGCAGCCAGCACATCCCCACCCAGGGAACAGGGACAGTGCTGCCAAAGGTATGGGAGAAGAAGGAGACCTGGGATGCTTGGGATGAAGCTTTGTTATCCTGCCACTCCTCTGACACGCAGCGTGTCCCAGTGTGCTTGTCCTGCTTCCTTCCTGCATTTTGTGCCGTTCCTGGTTTCAGACACAAACATCTCTGTTGTGCCCCTGCCTTTAGGGCACTTCCCCACAGCCCTGTGTGTTGCCAACTCCCCTTTCCATCAGTCAGCATTTTCTCCTGCTACTCATTCCTCTTCCAGCCCACTACTTGCCCATATTTATGTCATTTCCTCATTTATCTGATTTTTATCACCCCATGTAACAAATTCACGGAAGAAAACATCCATCCAAGACTATTAACTTCAAAAATCCTGCCTCCAGCATGAGGAGTGCTGGAGCCATGAATTGGAAGATATTGAGGGAATATTCGTGGGAGTAGTCACTATACATTTGCTGTTTTCTCTGCATTTCCCCAGGCATCCTCTCCTGCACACCCTCTGACCACTGCCAGTTCTTCATATGCTCCCGACTGGGTGTTTAAAATGAGATGCAGCTAAAATTGGAGTATTGCAAAACCAGGTCCTCTCTATCTTTAAACCCTCCATGGAAGCACCATTATGAATCCCAGGA